TTACATATTAACCTCACATGCAGAGGCTCAAAGGAGGTGTGTGAGCTCAGGACTCAAATAACTGTAATCGTACAGCGCTTGCTTCAGGCCACTGATTGATGAAGCCACTCGTCTTGAGAGCCGTTCTTTTGATGAGAGCACACTCCTACATGTAAACACACACAGAAGGTAAACGACCCTTCTCCTCCCTCTGTTTGAGTAACCACCTCATGATCCTCTCAAAGAAAGAACACATTTGCAAGTCTCTCCACATGCACTCGAATTACTCACAAACAGCATCTCTGAGAAACGAAGGGCACTTGGTTCAGTGCTGCACAACAAAATGCCTTTTTTGTACTTGTGTTGAGATGGACCTTGTTACATGACCATAAAAAGAAAAAGGTGTTCCTTCTTTGATTCTCTCCTCTGTGGGGAAAAGTCCAGTTGGAGGGGCTCTATTAATGAAACATCTTCTGATAATTCTGTGCAATACCATTAATTTAGTGTGTAGAATGTACAACCCCAATTTGAATTTATTCTAAAGTTTATATTTTTTACACGCATAAATACATTTTTTGCCCAGAAAATTGGTGTCAGACTTTTGCACAGTACTGTGGATGCATACTACATGCTTAAAAGGCATGCTACATACTAAATAACAATATTATATACCTAAAAAAACAAACCACTACATACTACATACACATACAGATGCATATTATATTCTGCTTATTACAACCCCAATTCCAAAAAAGTCGGGACGCTGTGTAAAATGTAAATGAATGTAAATAAAAACAGAATGCAATGATTTGCAAATCTCATAGACTCATATTTTATTCACAATAGAACATAGAACACATATCAGATGTTGAAAATGAGACATTTTACCGTTTCATGAAAAATACTAACTCATTTAGAACTTGTTGGCAGCAACACATCTCAAAAAAGTTGGGACAGGGGCAACAAAAGACTGGAAAAGTAAGTGGTACTAATAAAAAATGTTTTATAGAGGTAGGGTCTCTCAGAGGCAAAGATGGGCAGAGGTTCGCCAATCTGCAAAAAACTGAGTCTAAAAATTGTGAAACAATTTCAGAAAAATGTTCCTCAATGTAAACTTGTGAAGACTGGATATCCCACCATCTACAGTACATAATATCAACCAAAGATTCTGAGAATCTGGAGAAATCCCTGTACACAAGGGACAAGGCTGATGGTCAATATTGGATGCTGGTGGTCTTTGGGCCCTCAGGCGGCACTGCATTAACAACAGGCATGATTCTGTACTGGAAATCACTGCATGGGTTCAGAAACACTTTCAGAAATCATTGTCTGTGAATACAGTTCGCCGTTCACAAATTAAAGCTGTATCATTCAAAGAAGAAGCTGTATGTCAGCATGATCCAGAAACGCCACCAACTTCTCTGGGCCAAAGCTCATTTAAGATGAACTGAGGCGAAGTGGAAAAGTGTCCTGTGGTCAGATGAATCAAAATTTGAAATTCTTTTTGGTAATAATGGATTCTGCAGCCTCCAGGCTAAACATCTCCCAGATTGTTATTAGCACACAGTTCAAAAGCTAGCATCCATGATGGTATGGGGTTGCATTAGTGCACATGGCATGGGTGTCGTGCACATCTGTGAAGGCATCATTATTGCTAAATGAAATATACAGGTTTTGGCAACATATGCTGCCATTCAGACAACGTCTTTTTCAGGGAAGGCCTTTCATATTTCAGCAAGGCAATGCTAAACCACATACTGCATCTACCACAACAGCATGGCTTCATAGAAGAAGAGTCTGGGTGCTGAACTGGCCTGCCTGCAGTCCAGACCTGTCACCAATGTAAAACATTTAGCACATCATGCAGTGAAAAATCCAGCAAATAAGACCCAGAACTGTTGATCAGACAAGAATGGAACAATGTTCCTCTCTCGAAACTCCAGCAATTGGTCTCCTCACTTCCCAGACATTTACAGACTGTTGTTAAAGAAAGAGGGAATGCTGCACAATGCTATACAACTTTTTTGAGACGCGTTGCTGCCATCAAGTTCTAAATGAGTTAATGTTTTTCATGAAATGGTAAAATGTCTCATTTTCAACATCTGATATGTGTTCTATGTTCTATTGTGAATAAAATATGGGTCTATGAGATTTGCAAATCATTGCATTCTGTTTCTATTTACATTTGTTTACATTTTACACAGCGTCCCGACTTTTTTGGAATTGGAGTTGTAATAAGCAGAAGATAATATGCATCTGTATGTGTATGTAGTATGTAGTGGTTCGTTTTTTTAGGTATATAATGTTGTTATTTAGTATGTAATATGCCTTTTAAGGGTGTAGTGTGCATCCACAGTACTGTGCAAAAGTCTGACACCAATTTTCTGGGCAAAAAATGTGTTTATTCTTGTAAAAAACATAAACTTTAGAATAAATTCAAACAAACATTAATGCACTAAAAAAATCAAGAATTTCTTGTTTTGAAATGTTGTGAGCTGGTGAAAAGAGCACATTTGCTTCCAGATGGCTCCTTGATGACCCCAGCAATCGCTCCAGCACACCTGATTTTTGCACAGTGCTGTACATGTAGAAAGTACTGTGAAATCTCTATATGTAAAATACATTGTTTGAATGTAGTATGCATTATTATACAGAATGTAGTATGCATTTTAGGTATATAATATTCATTTTAAGTATGTAATATACATCTATATTATACTACATTGTATGGTATGTTAAGGAGAATGTAGTTGTGTCATATGTGGTTTGCATTTTAAGTATTCAGTATGCATAATTTTGCTGAGTGTAGTATGCATTATTATGTAGTATGTAGTATGAACTTTAAGGATGCATTTTTCAATTTGTGCAGAATGTAGTATGCATCTCTATGTAGTACATAGTATGCATTATTATCCAGAATGCAGTGCATGTTATTATGTAGTATATAGTTGATTTTGAAGGAAGTAGAATGCAGTAAAGTCTGCAGTATTTTCTGGAAGGTAGTATGAATATTAGATATTTTCATTTGTAGGCATTTGTCCACCTCTATGAGGGAATGGTCCAGGTTGTGAGGGTGCAGTTGCCCTTTTTGTATGATACGTCTTTTGCTAATTCCAGATTATACATTTAATTAATTGTTCGGGTGTAGACGTACAAGATTTTCTCAATTAGCTGAAGTTTTTATCCAGAGAAGCTTCAATTACCAACTACTGAGTGAATTTCTTGGAGCAGCTGGAGGTTAAGTGCCTTGCTCATGGCAGCGGAACTTAATCCCTTCAGTCCCTCCCCTGATCCCCTCAGTAATGGGCAATTTGACTGTTGAGTGACCGCCATCAAAGCTATCTTCATCCACAGTGGCTCAGCGGTAATTCTGGAAATAGTGCAATTACAGGACTAAAAAATCTAATTTACCCACTATCCCCCGTCCCATGTTTGGTGTCTGAAGTTTTGGTGTCTGAAGTGAAGCTTCTTTAGTTTTGCACTGGAGCTACAAGGCTAATGTATCTAAAAAAATGGAAGCTTATAGCCACCAAGTACAAAAAAATCAGGTATGAAGATGTGTGCCACTACTAATTTTAGCTCTGCAACATACTTTTCTAAGTTTTAGTTAACCATATAATGCTATTGTGTTTAGACAAGCAGCAAGAGAAACAGCCCAACACAGCACTACACCAACACACAACATGGGGCGGAGGTAATGTGGGAGGATGTGACATGAGAGGAGGGTGGACAAACACAAACACACACACACACACACACACACACACACACACAACAACCCACCCGTGCGGCCCATGGCCCATGGAGCTGTGTCATCATTTAGGCATGCAGTTAGCACAGTGCTAACTGGTGAGGTATAAGCTTCCATTACGTGTTAGCTATGTTAGCAACGTAGCTAACATAGCTAACGTATCACCAGTTTTCCTAGAACACTGCTGTATTCTAGAACACTGATTTAACTCTAGAACACTGATTTAACTCTAGAAAGCTACTTTGTGACAACGCCTGTTGCAAAACGCGCTGTATAAATAAACTTTGACGTGACTCACACGGATTTATTCTACAACACCACTATACGACACTGCTGTGTTCTAGAACAGTGCTTTATTCTACAACACTGCTGTATTCTAGAGCAGTGCTTTATTCTGCAATGCTGTATTCTAGAACAGTGCTGTATTCCACAACACTGCTGTATTCTAGAACAGTGCTGTATTCCACAACACTGCTGTATTCTAGAACAGTGCTTTATTCTACAACACTGCTGTATTCTAGAACAGTGCTTTATTCTGCAATGCTGTATTCTAGAACAGTGCTGTATTCCACAACACTGCTGTATTCTAGAACAGTGCTGTATTCTACAATGCTGTATTCTACAACACTGCTGTATTCTAGAACAGTGCTTTATTCTGCAATGCTGTATTCTAGAACAGTGCTGTATTCTATAACACTGCTGTATTCTAGAATACTGCTGTATTCTAGAACTAGAACACTGCTGCATTCTAGAACCCTGAATAACTGCATTTACCATAAAAAGACTGATTTGGATCAAATCATTGTGTCTTGTTTGCAAATCTGAGTAAAAACTGTATAAACTTTGTTGGTATCATGATAACAGGCCCAGTTTATGATAACAGGCCCAGTTTATGATAACAGGCCTGGTTTATAATAACATGCCCAGTTTATAATAACAGCCCCAATATAATTAGCCACGTAACTATTATCTAATAATCTATTAAGTGCTACCATTTGAATTGTTAACCATTTACTTAGTGACATATAAATAGTTAAAGCACTGTAAATGCTTTCAATTTACACTCAATGAGCACAATTACAGACTGCAGTTCCATTTTAGTCCATCTGTTTCTGTTTCTTTCTGTTCTTCAATGGTCAGGACCCCCACAGGACCACCAAAGAACAGGCATTGTTTGGGTGGTGTATCCTTCTCCTGGTCTACCTGGTGTGGGTCTTCTCTCTAGTGGAAAGCATCATAGTGTCCTGACCTGGTCTGCTATGTTTCTCAGGTCTACAGCAGTATGGAGCACCTGTCCCAGCTGGAGCAGAAGACTCCTGTAGTGACCAGACGGGAGCCGAAGGGGCGACGCGAGGACAAAATGGCCAAGAGAGAGAGCCTCGGCAGCTTCAGCAAGAGCTGGAGGACCGGCTCACCTGAGATGTGAGTGTGCATGAGTGTCAGAGTGAGCAACCCATCAGGAGTAAAGACAATTCATTTAAAGGGACCATATCATAAAAATCACTTTCTTTCTTTCTTTATTTATTTATTTATCTATCATTTTTAAAACAAACTGATCACTCCTAAGTCTATACAAACTAATATAACCATTTTGAATTCACTTCATTCATTTGATATCATCAGTACGCATAAACATTTACCCATCTGTTCAGCCCACAGCAGAAAAAAGAATCAGATTAGAGAATACACATCATTCGTGCACCTCAGGTGAAAAAATTAAATACATGACATATGAAGGCAATGAGCCCTTTAAAGTATTTTATACAACAGTTAGTTTCGGCCACGCAAGCTGATTGGTTGAGAAGCGCTCTAACCGTGCTGATATTTCACCATGACATCAAATTTTTTTCACAAACACTGTATCACTCCGCTGAGACAGCTGTAGGAGACGCTCAAGCCATTTGAACGTTTTTACTTCTTACTTTGCCACAAACAGAAAATGGATACTTTTAAGATCACATTTGACCGACAGCCGATTTGGTCAGACTCTGAAGATGAGACGACACTAAATTCCCAAACTGTCATCACCACTGAGCAGCTTTTCAGTCGGCAGCTGTGACAGAAGAACAGCTAAACGACCTGGAATCAGCCAGAAATGAACCCAATACCATTCGCCAAACAAAATGGGCTGTAAGATGCTTTACAGACTGTAAGATGCTTTACAGACTGGCTGGAACAAAACAACATTAATACTGATCTGGCAAAAACTGACAAAACTGAGCTGAACTTGATATTGCGGCAGTTTTATGGCTCAGTCCGTATTTCAAAAGACGAGGCTTACAGCAGACTGTGCAGAGAGTGAGTGGAGTTTGTTACTCTGACGTAGCAACAAGCTGCTCAATAAGGAGCTATAATTTGGTGGGAGGAATTGCGACCATTAAAACATATTAAATGACACGTTCACGGCCCAGTTTATTAATTTCTTACTTTATTTATTTAACTGTTGTATAAAAGCAAAAAAAACATTGGAGGTTGTGATGTTATTTTACGATAACACTCCCTGTTGTGTTCTTTTGCTTAAATCAGTAATAATACCCAAAATGTGCCTTAAAGATGTTTATTTACAAGAATATGCACACAGATACAATACTGTGCAACATACAGTCCTATGCAGTAGTCAGAGACCCCCATTCCTTTATTCAATTTCCAGTCCAGATGGCCATTAAGTACAATTTATTCATTTTTCAGTGTCAGAAAAAAGCAAGAAACATGTATTTAACAGAAAATTACACAAAAGTCTCAACTGATGAATCAGCTAAAAATCTATCAGTATTTAATTTGCCCACTCTTTACTTTTGTAGACCTGCAGCCACTTTAACTCTCTATCCTTCCTATCTTACAACCAAACCAGTTACAGCTGCATCCTCCCAACAAAAGCTGCTCCCAAGGATCTCACTGACATTATGTTCCCTTTCAAAGAGAGACTTACAGACTGCTGTTTCTTTTTCATGTGCATCTAAATGGCCAAACAGGGAGGCCATAAAGGAGTCTAGATTTAAGAAAATCCACTTTCATAAAGAAGAGCAAAGTCTTAGTGAAAAAACAGCAGTTTCCAAACGAGATCTTTTGAATGATTAAAAGATACATAGAAAATGAGACTCCTAACAACCACCTGGAAGACCTGGTAGACTCCAAAACTGTCCCCATCAGATAAACAGCACTTAAAGCTTTCATCTTTTAGAGAGAGGAGAAAATCAAGCTCCACTCTGGATTCAGATCTGAAAACATCCACAGGAGTCTCTGTCCATCCTTCACTGTGAGACACTCAGCACTATGAGTCTGAAAGGATGTGTAGCTGTTAAGAAGCTCTTACTGAGAAAAGGAGACACATCAAACAAAGAAGCTGCTGCTGTTTCTCAGAACAGTGGACTGACCACCCCAGAGTCCAGACCTCAGCATCACTGAATCTCTCTCTCTCTCTCTCTGTAGGAAGCGCCTGTCGTGTTCTGAGTCTCTGTATATTGAGGGAGACTCCAGTCCTCCGCTAGGGTGCCCGGCGTCGTTTTTCTGCGCTGATGGACACACACCGTTTCGCCTCACCTCTAGAGAGCAACGGAGAGACGCAGCCTCAGCAGAGCGCTAAGAGCAGGGGGTCATCGTTAGAGGGCACCGCCGCACCCTCATCACCCGCTAACGAACAGAGCGCAGCAGTGAGTGCAGCAGGTGAGGAGAGAGGCTGGAAGAATCAATACACTGTACTTATCCTTATTATCCCACTGTGTCTTTTACAGAGAACGTAATTAAAAACACAACAGAGCTGAGTGAAAACTTCACAGTGCCCTCCACAAATATTGGCACCCCTGGTAAACGTGCAAAATGGGCTGTAAAAAACGTTCTTTACTGCTTTTCATTTTGATCTTTTAATCAAAATATTAAAATCGAAAATTATTTGAAGTAGAATGATAGAAAGGAAAAAACATAAACTGATCATGAAATATTTTTTTTTCAAATCTATGTGTGCCACAATTGTTGGCACCCTTAGAAATTCGTAGGAGTGAAATATAACTGAACTATATTTCTGTTCATATTTTATTTTCATGTTTTAAAGCTCCTCATCCCCACTGTGAGGTATGGTGGTGGATCTGTGACGTCTTGAGGCTGTTTTTCTTTCAAAGGCCCTGGATGACTTGTTCAGATACATGCACTGCAAAAAATAGTATCCTGTCAAGTAAAAATATTTTAAATATAGACAATAAATCTAATATTCTTCCTGTTGAGATTGTTGTAAGCTTAATTTAAGATTATTTACCCTATTTCTAGACATTTACTTGTTTTAAGTCATTTTAAGTACATTTATCTCACTATATTCAAAGATAATTTGGCTTGTTTTTAGAAATGTGCTTGAAAACTTTCTGCCAGTATAGTGAGATAATTTTACTTAATAAAATTATTGAAAATGAGTGAAAATGTCTAGAAATTTGTTTGATAATCTTATAATAAGTGCACAATCATCTCAAAATGGGAAATATTAGATATATCGACTAGATTTGAGATCATTTCACTTGACAAGACACCATTTTTTGCAGTGTGGTATCATGAACTCAAGTACCAGCATATATTAAATCAAAACCTGACTGCCTTAGCCAGGTTGGATCCTCAGGACAATGATCCACAACACACCTCAAAATCAAGGTTTTGCCACAGCCATTTCAGTTGCAGATCCCCACAGAAAACCTGTGGGATGAGCTGAAAGCAAGTATGGAGGAAAGCAAGCATGGACCTCTGAATCTGAAGAATCTGAAGAGATTCAGTATGGAGGAAATGAATCTCAGATCCCACTGTGTTCTCCAGTCTCACTGAGGATTATAGAAGAAGAATCACAGCTGTCATTTTTGCAAAGAGAGGTTGCAAAAGTATCAGGTGAATTGGTGCCAACAATGATTGTACTGTAAACAAAGGTTAGATTTTTGTTAATATTTTGAATGAAAGATCAAAATTATGATCAATAAAAATGTTTTTACAGCTGGTTTTACTTATGTCTGCCAGGCGTGCCAATATTTGTGGAGGACACTCTATTTGTGTATAATTAGTTAGTGATATCTTTATTTAATTCTTATTCATCTTCATAAGATCTGAGACTGGAATAGAAACATTCTCCACTTATTTGTTATGAATAAAAAAGCTATTTTCAGCATTCTGTGCCCTTTCTTTAGTTTAACCAATTAGAACAACATAAGAAAACGATTTCATTTCAAAACGATCATTTCAAGAGTCCAATTATTGAAAATTTCTGCACAACTAAATCATCAAGATGTTAAAGTCCTTCAGAGTGGTTTGGTGTGAAATGCTCCATTCTATAGAAACTTTCAGAGTCAGAATTGTTCACAGTGGTGGTGATAGGAACCAGACGTCTGAAGTGTTTCATGTCTCTAAAAGCTCTCGCACTGGTTAGTATATGAAATGGTTATGAAAATGAAATCCCCCTTTAATAATGTAATTCTGAAAGCATTCTGTGTGCAAATCAGGCCTATAAAAATAAAAAAACACCCAATCAGTCACTGTTGCATTTATTCAGGAACTGTTTTTATCAGAAACATAACAATACAGTTGGTAACCAGTTAAGCACATTTTAGAAAAGGTGTCACACTGGAAGATTTTTCTTTTTTACACTTCATAAATGATGAAAATAATGAATCATAATGAAATAATGTCAATAATGAAACGTGGAGAAAGTATTTGAGTTTTTAACTGGAATCTTACAGATAAGCCATCCAGACCTCGTGAAGCATCTGCGCCACAAGCCATACCATCAGCAGCAGCAGCTTCCGCAGTACCCGTCTCCCGGGATACGGTTGCCGTGGGCGACTCCCACAGCCAGCGGGCCACCAATGACCTGGTTCTACGGCGGGCTCGACATCAGCAGCTTTCTGGAGACGGAGAGAAACGAACCTCGCGCCCCGGCAACAAAGTCATCAAGTCTGCATCAGCAACCGCGCTGTCTGTTATCATCCCTGCAGGTGGGCTTCAGACCCCGACCACCGGGGCGCTAGTGCTCTGTGTGAGGTAGCTGTTGAATCACAGAACCAGTGCTGATGTTTCCTTAACTCCTAGTATTGTTTTGTATTAATAGTTTGTTGTTTAACCCATCATAAGTTGCCATTATTGCAATTACAAAAGCATGACGTTCATCATAATTCTGAAATAGATTAATAGAGAAATTGCAATCTATACCACATTTGTGATTGTAAGTAGAAGGGTTATTATGATTTGAATAAGAGGTGGTATAATACTACTTTTTCTCTCCTGACATCGATAGCGATAGTGAATTCTTGAGTATCACCAGATACTGATATTCATCCAATAATGTTTACAGTTTAAAATGTGCTACTTTTAATTAAAGCACTTAAGATGAGCATCTAAAATAGCCTATAATACTTAAACTACTCAATCATGCTACAGTCCCACAAGAAATCTACACAGCTAACAGCATCACATCACACAGTTTGAGTGAGTGCGGTTCAGGATAGACCTGTTACAGGATTGGATTTATTCAGATTCATTGAGTGTGTTTACATGCACTTAATAATCCGATCATTATCTGATGTCTGCAGTTATCTGATTATTCAAATGGGCTTGTAAACAGCACACTCCAATTTCTAAGATTGGAGTAAGGTCTAGAAATCCGATTAAGAAATTAAGAAATCTAATAAAGGGAGCTGGATTTTAGCTCAGTAATCTGATTTCCCAATTGTGATACCCAATATCCAATCAGTGCATTCTCTACTTTGAATCTGATGAAAGGTCACTGTTGAGTGTACAGTCTTGTTTTGCAGATGTATCTCCAACATTTTTGCTATGTTATTTTCATTTCCTGATATCAGTCGAAACAGAAAAAGTCAGAAGTGCAGCCTCAAACCTGTGCAGACAGGATGTAGATCAAATGTAAATGCAATAACATGGAATGACTCACTATGTAATGATTCATGTCATTCTGTCACTCCATTTAAATTTAACAGCAAAACAACTGGAATAACTCAGCTACTGAGGGTTAAGGCAGACGGCCGTATCAGCATCATGAGTTTCAACCACGCGTTTCACCTTATGGGTGTTCCTTCGTTCAAATCTTGATCCAAGACTTCTTTTGTCAGGTAAATGGTTTGGCTAGTTTAATCACGATTCTCTTTCTCTCCTCTACAGTTGAGCAGCATGCTAGCTCTCCTTTGGCCAGCCCAATGTCTCCTCGCTCAGTTTCTTCCAACCCGTCGTCACGGGACTCGTCACCCAGCCGGGACTACAGCCCAGCGGTCAGCGCGCTCCGTTCACCAATCACCATCCACCGCTCGGGCAAGAAATACGGCTTTACACTGCGCGCCATCCGTGTCTACATGGGGGACAGTGACGTTTACAGTGTACACCACATCATCTGGGTGAGAGGAGACATTAAAACAAAGACATTAGCAATAAAAATGTGAATAAATACATATCTTTAAAGAGAGAGCAGAGAAATAATGCAAAATAGGAAAGACATAGAATAGACCCCATGTGTCAAACACAAGGCCCGTGGGTCAGATCAGGCCCGCGTCACAATCCTATCCGGCCCGTAAAAGCATTGTAATTTTCTTTTAATATTAGCCCGTTTCACATTGCTCTGTACTACAGTCCCCAGCATGCACTGCAGTGTAATGTGCTCTGACTCTCCTACCCCAACAACAGTCTATGGGACAGTGGTTACACCTCAATTCTACACACGTCTATGCAATTCCACACCAGTCATGTCACTAAACGCACTAGCTGCATTTCAGCTGTAGTTCAACCAACATAAACTCTTAACGTCAGCTCAGCAGCTCAGAAGCTGAGACCAAGTATCAAGGTCTACTACTAAATAATGGCCAGTTTGGGTTACAGCACAACATTAATTAAAAATGAAATAAAAACATTTTTACTGTGGCCCACGGATTTGTTAAGATTTTTAACATGGCCCCTTTAGTGGTTGAGTTTGACAGCCCTGGAATAGACTGTACTTTACTATGGCTTTATCAGTCAAATTAAAACCACTAAAATACTGAGAACCTAATCGAATTCATCTCTCAGAGTTAACTGAACATGGCCATGTTTGCATTTGGCATTATAGTGCGTCCCATACCTGAGTATCCCTCCTGTTAAATAAGATATTTTAGGCATCTGCATGTTTATTAAAACATGAGCTTATGAACGTGAAAGCTGAAAGTTGCTGTGAAGGACAGCACAGTTCTCACTGACTGACATTTGTTTTTCTTTCAACTGTGCTTCAGTTGTGGCTGCTAAGCAAACATGCATAACATCTTTTCTCTCTCTGCGACTTTTATTGCTTGAAGCTCCCTGCACCTCAGTTGCAAAAATGCTTTATAAAGTTAACACAACCTACTCTGCATTGGTGCCACACCAGCCTCATAGACGTCTGTAGTCAGTGTCATTTCGGACAGTAGTCAGTGGATTTCTCAGTGGCAAAAATGAATGGGATTTTCAAAAATCATCATTGCTGTGCCCTGTGGTACAAAAAAGTTCCAAACCCAACATGTTTTGTTCTACATACATTTTCAGCTGAAAGTCACTGGATCCTCTAAATTACAAGGTTGTTAAGGAGCCAAAATACGATCATTGCTACACCCATGCTAACAGCAGGCTACCTCTCCTGTACACTTAAATGACGTTGCATGCAAGTCTACTATCACTACTACCAGCTTCTCTTAATGTACTGTACTACCAAACTGGTTTGTTTGGTGTGTTTTTGCTTACTTTACAGTTTTAGAGTGTTGATTTGGTGCACAGGAATATTAGCTCACATGTAGCAAAATTCATATTTTGGCACTCTAAAGATCCCGTAGTTCAGAGGATCAGATCATGGTCATCGCATGACAGTGCCAATTGTATACAGGCTTTTGGTGGTCACTTAACAGCAGAGAAAGATTTGTTTTTTTATTTACTGTACTGTATTTACTGCTTTTGTTGTCCAATCACAGCATGTAGAAGAAGGAGGTCCGGCCCAAGAAGCGGGGCTATGTGCTGGTGACCTCATCACACACGTCAATGGAGAGTCTGTGCACGGCTTGGTCCATACAGAAGTGGTGGAACTCATTCTCAAGGTGAATAGTATGAACCTAAGATTAGTTCATCCTGCTAGTGTTATTATCCTTTACCAAAATAAGTCTTATGTGATTCCTCTTCATTTCATCATATTTAGGACAGGATTCTGGTGAACTCTTTTGCTCAAACAGTCCAACTACAAGAACAACTTAAGGCCAAGGCAGACAGGCAGACTCTGATGACACCAGTGTGATAAAATCTAAGATGTAAAATACTGATCTTTTGTTTTTTCTGTGCTCTCAGAGTGGCAATAAAGTGACTGTGACTACCACACCCTTTGAGAACACATCTATCAAAGTGGGTCCAGCTCGCAGATCCAGCTACAAATCCAAGATGGCCAGACGCAGCAAAAGGCCAGTCAAAGAAGGACAGGAAAGGTAAGTCATCTAGGTCTTTTTTATAATATTGTCATTTTACTGGAGTGCTAACTTATTGAGAACTATATATAGCATTACTTTCGTCCCCCACAAGACTGCCTTAAGTGTAGATTTAGTGTAGGAGTTCGATTGTGGCATTGATTAATTGATAATATTTCGAGAGTTACAATGCATCCAAAAATCAATTAGTTTTCCCACCCCTAATTAATAGATTAAAGAGAGAGTGCTTAATTAGTCCCCAAGGGAATTTGTTTCATTACAGACACATCAAAGTCACAAGTACACAATTAATCAGTACAATAAAATAGAATGCAGTATACATGACAAGCAGCCCAAAAAGTGAAGGGGAACACTCAGAAAGCCAGCTATGCTGAAAAGTTGGCATTTTGGCTAATTAGTGACATGGCTTAATAATTAGCAGTGAAACCAGAATTATAGTCTGTACCTAACTTTATACTGATATGAATGCTCCCCTTTTACCTATTGGGGTGTTTTTCCATAAGTTGATGAGTTTCCTCTGTTGAGCCCAGCAGCCATCACAGGTTTTTTCTTGGACGATTGGGTCACACTTTATTTGGATGGTCCCCTATAGATGCTCTACAGATGCCTAAATCACTAACAAACTTTCTGGTGATGTTCAGTTGATTATCAACAACAGTATGGTTGTGATTAGGGTTAGGGTTAGGGTTAGGAGTAGGTGTAGGTTTTGCCTTGAGGTTAAGGTTAGGGTTAGGTTTAGGGTTAGGAATAGATTTAATAAAATCTTTCATACTGAACTTGAAGTTCATTTGCATTTAATAGATATTTAGTTGAATGTTACTTAAAGACAGACTGAGCATTTACAAAGCATCTACAGTGGACCATCCAAATAAAGTGTTACCGAAGATTGTGCATCCAGTTTGCTTGTCACTTTAAGTAAGATGAAATTTAGAATAATTGAATACAAACTCTGGAATATAGAAATGTTGTATATTGTTCCTACTGTCCAGAAAATGCTGTGTATTTTAGTATGAACATATCAGACACATGGCGGATGCACTGTAAAGCCTGATAGCTGGCATGCGGGATATCCTATATTATGCACTGCTGCACTGCTGCTGAATTAGTCAGTAGCTAAAGATGTTAACCCTGTTTTTACCCATTTTGGCTTTATTGGTCTGATTATCACTTTTCTGTCTTTCCTGTTCGTCTCTTTTTCTCTCCCTCCACAGTAAAAAGCGCAGCTCTCTGTTCCGTAAGATAACCAAGCAGTCGAACCTGCTCCACACTAGCCGTAGTCTGTCATCTCTGAATCGCTCTCTGTCCTCCAGTGAGAGTCTACCTGGATCTCCAACTCACAGTCTGTCTGCCCGCTCCCCAACCCAGAGCTACCGCTCCACTCCTGAGTCCTCTTACCTTGGTAAGTAGGTTGTAGTCTAGCTACATAAACTGAGCAGAAGGGTAACAGTGATCAATGAACATGTGGTTCTCTTGAAAGCTTTAACGTAGCCTAGTCTTATCTTGTGTTTTCTTGGACATGAAACTTATTATGAACCTTAAATAAACCTTTTTATGCTCTCTATTACCTCTTTTCTTCTTACTGCCTGCATCTCATCCTGTTTGCTTGCTTATCTCAGGTGCCTCTTCTCAAAGCAGCTCTCCAGCTTCCAGCACCCCGAATTCTCCTGCTGCCTCTCAGCACATGCGACCCAGCTCCCTCCATGGCTTGTCCCCTAAACTGCATCGGCAGTACCGCTCAGCCCGTTGCAAATCTGCTGGCAACATCCCTCTTTCTCCTCTGGCACACACTCCGTCTCCTACTCAGTCTTCACCGCCACCTTTGCCAGGCCACACTGTTGGAAGTTCCAACACAACACAGACCTTCCCTGCCAAGCTTCACTCGTCTCCTCCTATCACAAGGCCCAGGCCCAAGAGTGCCGAACCGCCCCGGTCGCCACTTCTCAAGAGGGTGCAGTCTGCGGAGAAGCTTGGATCACCACTTTCATCTTCTGGGGAAAAGAAAGGAGGGATTGGGGCAATGAGGAAGCACAGTCTAGAAGTGGGCCATTCAGATTATCGTAAGGAAGGGTTCCACTGTGAGCTGGGTCTCCAAAGCTTGTTGGAGACAGAAGGAGAGAATCTGGCCTCAACTTCAGCGACTACGCCATCACCTACCCAACCTACAGTCCCATCACCCCCAGAAACGGGTATTTTTAAGCCTGTACGCAAGCTGGGCAGGCAGGAATCACCACTGAGTAGAGATGCTTTGCTTGCTGGAAGAGAGAGAGAGAAGGAGCTTGAGAGACAGAAGTCTGTAGACGCAGTCCAGGGAAGTGACAGTAAACTGGCAATAGTCTTGGAGAAGTCCTTTTCTGCCGGTAGGACATTTGAGAGAACTGAGACTGACCAAGGAGCCCTGAGCAAGAAAGTCCCAGATGATAAATCAAGTCACATAAAATCTCCAGTTGTTGATGTGTCACAGCGATCACCATCCACCCCAAAAGATGCCAGCCCAGCAAGGCTTGAAACCAGTCTACCTATTGTAACTAGGCCTTCACCTGTTGTACCAGAGTCTAAACTTAGTGTTGTCCCTGCCATTCCCTCGCCTCTGACTACTATGTCAATCCCTGCTGCAAAAACTACAGACCCCAGCATTCCCGGTGTTGGAGCAGGAAATGGAAGTCAAGGTTGTGCCACAAAAACTCCAAGCAAGGTTGTCCCAATCCAGGCAACAGCGACTACCAAAACTCAGACGTCCCAAAGTTTGTCGAGCTCCAAGGACTTCCCGGAAAAGAAGAGTGACAAGGATGCCGGAATTAAAGAAGCAGGAAAGACTCTCGCTGCAGTCAAGTCTAGCTTACCGTGTAGTGGCTCTGTGAAGGCAACTCCTGTTGCTGACATTCAAAGTGTACCCTCAAGTGCCACAGAAGTGTCCAGAGCAACCAAGGGACCATCAGATGGAGAAGGTCTGAAGAAGTTGGGTGCAGATACCCATGGTAGGACTCCAGATATGAAGTTAAGAACTGGCTTACCTCCATCCAAGGGGGTAGTTCCACCTCACCCACCCCAGGTACAGTCTCCTGCTCTGGGCAAGCTCTGTCAGGACAAGGGCCTCTCTCAAGTCAACTGCTACCGTGGCACCTTGGACTGGGAAGATAAGTGTCTCTTGGAGGTTGTTGAGGAGCATTCACCTTCCCCTACTCCTTCCCCTACTGGAGCCACCCCTAGCCCCTCCAAATCACTCCCACTGTCTCCTGGTGACAAAGGTGTCTTGACCAGTGTGGCTAAAACTGTGCAAGAACCTGTCAAAAAGGGAACTCTGGATGGGGCTAAAACCAAGGAAGCCAGTAAATCAGCAGAGGAAACTCAGGCTAGTGTGCAAGGAAAGACTGAGGCTTCAAGTGGGAGTAAGCATAGCTCGAAAGTAGCGGCTCCGAGCCCTTCTGGTGCAGTGCCGCATGAAAAGAGTGGGAGCACTAAGAATGGGTTGTGACCTTTCAGCCAGTCTAGTATTCCATTTAATGGAGATTTCAAAGGATGCAGTGTTGTCGGGCAATTGTAAGGACATTCCAGCAAGTAAATACCAAGGTCAAGTGGGAGAAACATAATGTAAGACTGAACAAAACAAACGCTCTGAGGTACTTCTTACAAGAGTGTTATTTGTTGTAGATACAGAGCAGTTTGTCACAGAATTACAGTAGATGTACTGCAGGTGTGGGTGCAAGAGAAAGAGAAAAAGAATGAATGAGTGAGTGCATGTCTTGTGGTGCTTGTGTGACAAAGTGAAAAGGCAAGCGCAAAGTGCTTTAACAGATCAAATGATGCTGAATACTGTGAACACCAAAATCCATGTTCCTCCATTTTATAACCAGTGTGAGCAACCTATTTCTTAAGCGAACCATGGAAAATAGGCATTTGTTCCTGCAACGTTTACTGAGCAGACAATATCGCAACAGTCTTAATTGGTATATATATATGTGAAGGACGCATTGTTATTCTCGTCTTATGCTTGATTCATCATTCCCTAATCCTTAATCAGCATGATGTCCAGTGACTAGTGGCTAGCGCTCATGCTGCCTGTGGGCATGCCTTTCATGCTGTGTTGGTAGAGGGACAAGTAGGACCAAAAATATCGGAGAGATTTCATTTTCCTGTCAACCCATAAGCCGATGGAGCATTTAAGTGGCCGGGATTTAGCGTTTTGAATTAGCCTGCACTGCATGGGCGACTACAGCCTTCTTATCAGGTACTAGCAGGAGGCCTAGCGTAGCTGCCCGGTGACAGCTGCCTCCATCGCAGCTTAGGCAGCAGAGATGTAATTGCTGACTTGGGCTGATTTTAACGCTGTTTGTGGGCTTTAAATCTGCTATGCTCTACTTGACAGACACTTTACAGCTATAAAAGAAAGGTACTACTCTTGGTGTTTAGTCTGCTTTTAAGGGGTGGTTGTGGTTGACGATAAGGAAAGTATTCACAAAAAAGCAAAGATTTGCACAAATTAAATGGGTAATATGGGTTAAAATGTGTTTAGGTAGCACATACAGGAAACCATGCAGAGCGAAGTATCCAGGAAAGGCTATTTTAAGTGAGTTCAGTTCCATTTTACAGTAGGCTAAACCATCTCTCTTAAATTGAAATACTGAGCAGTATATACTGCTACACATTTCAGGTTGTTCATGGACTCAGAAGTGGTTGATGTTACCTTCTTTGACAGATGCTAACTATACATATTCATAGCTTTTAGTTCTACATCCTCTTATGGTACAAGTTATCATATTTAACCCTTTAATGAAGACTGAGGGACCCAACTATGATGGAACATGGTGTAGTCACCTGACTGAATGTTAAACATATAATGTAACAGTGGTTGTATCCAATCTAACCACAGTTGTCTGTTCTAGAACTACAGTGAAAAAATACACCTTTCCCAAAACAACCCAAACAATCCAAAAAGTCTATATATATAATCATGTATCTACGACAAAGATTGTACTGTAGCTGTCAATGTACTACACAAAAATGATAGATCTATGATCAAAACAGTAGATCGACAATGCTAATGCTTTGGGGGTAAAAGAAGCCCTTACTATGAAATTTGCCGTATGAATCAAGTCATTATTCTTGAAGGAGAATTCCACAGATTTTTCATAACCTCTGCATAATTTAATTGTTGAGATGTAAACGGAGTCATTCAGAGTGGTTTGATGTGAAATGGTGCATTGCAGAGAAAATTACAGACTCATATTTCTTTATAGTGGTGGTGACCAGCGAACCTCCACATGTCTTTTGAGTTTTTTACATGTAATAGTAATGAGGGTAGAATGGTGGTAATATGGAAAAAAAATAGTTATCTGTTACTATTTTGTCTCACAGCACCATGCATGTACCTCTACACCATTAATGGATTAAAAAAAAAACACATTTTTCACCAAAGCCTTCTCAAAACTATCATAAAACAATGTCTCAGACAATTCGTAACGATTTCATGTAGTAACTTTTTGTGAAGGAACTTTTAGAGCACTAAACTCTTCAGATGTCTGGTTCCTATCACCACCACTGTAAACATTTCTGACTCATTTCTGACACTCTGAATTACGTTGTTTACATATTATCATTTAAATTATGCAGATATTTTGAAAAAAAAAGAGTGTAATTCCCCTATAACAAGTATCATTCATATATTGTACACATCATTTTTGCTCTAGCAGCAGTATTTCTCTTGCGCTCTGTTATAGTGGTCTTAGTAATGTGAGGCCTAATCAGCAAAAGTTTAGTATGTAAAGTAATGTTTGCTCTGTTTGCTTTTCACAGTGGAACAGAATATTCATAAATATGCACTCTTTATGCAGATACAGAAATCCCTTTATGTGTCACGAATCCCTGAGTGAGATATGAGCTAGATATAAGAGGCACAAACTTCAGCTGCGTCCAAACCACATACTACACTAATGAATGGACTTCTATTGGTGGTGTACTATTCTTGACATGCTATTTAGTGTGGTAGTATGCAGCTTTGGACACATTGCTGGGATGTGCTGCCATCTGGTGGCCAATAGCCCTGTCTCAGTCCTGTGTTCAGGGGTGGTGAACTGAGGACCAGAGTCCAGCACAGTCTGATGATTTCTCTGCTCTGACACAACAACTAAACCTGGTAATTAATTGCTGAGTTTAATTAAGTGTGTTTAAGCAGAAAAATCACCAAACTGTGCAGAAATCCAGCCCTTCAGGGCCAGAGTTCCCCCCATCAGTCTCATTATTTTGTGTTGGGATCTTATATATTGTAAAACGTCTTGAGAGAGTCTCAGTTTTGCATTTCATAACAAAATACTATATATAATATATATTATATGATCTGGTAGGGTTCATATGAGACCTGCTTTCCCCCAAGTTTGACAGATATAGGCCTGCATTTCTGCTGTCAATTAGCCTGATATCCTGACCGAAATGAGGGAGATACATACATATTGAATTTTAAGGGACATATTCACTCATGTCCCTCTAACCTAACTCTGTGCATCAGGCATAATTGGTTAGGATTATAAAGTGAAGAAACACATCCTAGATCATCTTCTCACTCACACAGTTCTATAGCACAGTTGATTTTTTGCTCACTCTCATTCACTATATTGAAACAGCGCTGAACTGTAATGTGCTGTGGTCTGTTTAAATGGTGTGGGAAGCTTTTGTTGGAGAGAACTGACCTCATCGGCTCACCCCAGTGACCTGATCTCATGCTCTTTTTTGTAGCAGCTGTTGCTAGTTTGCCTCATAGAACATTGGCAGCCTAATGAATTTGGACTGGAGTTTAGATTCACCAAATAACCTTGAGTTTCCAGTTTAAAACGCATCGCTACAGAGCTAGTCCATGTTGTTGTAGCTAATCAGGAATAGGCAAGTTGGATACGGCAACAGATTAACCACCATGACATCATATTAGCTTGATTAGGCTACATGACAGAGAAACTGTGGAACTGTTTTTTTTTAAAAACAGTGCTTGTGTGGACATGATTTTTTAAAAACCGAAGTAGGAAAACCCCCGTTTTCAAAAACACCTATAAAAGTGTGTACTAGGCCTAGGGCTGCGGCACTGAGGAGTGCTGGAGTGTGTTGTTAATTGATGCTGATCAGTTGGGTCTCAGACAATTCATTAATAGAACTTCTGTTCTCTGTGCTGCATTGTCACATCTCTACAGTGTACATTGTCACAGTTTTGCATTGCAATATCACGATTTCATGATGCATTGTTACAAGTTCAATGGAAGTTTTGCTAATGTTACTAACCTAGCCTTATATTTCACCTCGTAAGCTCGCCTCGTTCAGCTGTATCACGAGTGTGATAAATGATTTTGAAGGGTTTATTTCATTAAGCGTATACCATTAGAGTGTAATAATGATCTTCACGTCTATTGGCGCACTCAAGCAGCACTATAGCAGCACTTTGTTACTCAGCTCTACATGTGCTACTTGATGCTACATGTCCACTATGTGTTTAGTTTCAGCTTCACAAGACTTCATTAGGACGGTTAACAATAACAGGTTTATGAACTCAAGCTGTGATTAATCCTAATGTGTGTGCACACGAAACATGACGGCTATGACAACCAGCCAACTGCGCGAAACATGAGGAGGAAAAAGGCTCAATGTAAATTTGAGAAGGTTAAGCATTTATAGGATCCGTCTCCACTGCCTCCCTGTTAATGCTTAGTAGAGTAACAATTACTTTATGTTCTTAGCATCAACATTCGCTTCTTCTGCTAAAAGTGATATTCTTCGCGTGGTTGACGCCACAAACGTCACAAAGAAAAAAAAAAGTCACTCAGTGATCCACTGTCCCAAACTGGTCAGAAGCTCAGCCTGATTGGTCTAAGAGTTGTTTATGATCAGAAATCTATGAAAGATAGAAAGTTATGCTACATTCACATGAAAAACCATCATTCTGCTCTTCATCATCCATGGCCCCCGTCATCATGCATTCATGGCCCCCAAATAAATCAACATCAGGTTTATTCCACCACTGCGGTCGACAGCAAAAGTTGGGAAAATTGAACTGCTGACAGATACAGTCTGCAGACTGTTGCCAGACAGACTTTTTCATCACAGCTCCATTGAAAACAATGGAATATCTGGTTTGCCATCATCTGTCTAACGCCAACATGTGAAAGCAGCATTAGCCGGCCCTGGAGCAGGTTAGGCCTGCAGTATACGTTGCCATGGTGATGTAGCCTGATAAAAAATGATCCTCCATCATGAGACAGAAAATCAAGAGTTAGATTGAACTAAGCTTCAAGTTGGCCAAACCATAACTCCTGCTTCATGAGACAGACCCCTAAGCTTAGAGGCAGGAAAAGTTGCCAACAGTGCAGTTATATTAGAGATCATAAGTAATGGACAGTCCTAAGTCACATGTCTAGGATGTACATTGTTACAGTTTTGCATTGTGATAGCACAATATCAAGATGCACTGTTACACCCCTAACCTGGGATCATTTCTACAGCTTATTTTATAGCAGGTCAAAGCCACTGTGATCTTCACAGATGCAGGAATGTGCAGTCTGACTGATCTGGACTTTGAACACAGAGTGACTCTTAAAATAATTACATCAGCACATCTCCATGTGAAACTAATCCTATCTGAATAGTACTTTAGACTTAAACTGCCCATTAAAGGCAAACACCAGAGAGCAGTGCTGATTAGCCCAAGACTTTGCCTTTGCTTAATGTGTGTCCAGAAAAAAGTATCTCTGTAAGCAAAGCCTTAATATCAAGGTGTCATAATCTCAGTGTATCAAACAAAGACGCTCTTAAATTATCCTATTTGTGCATCATGTCTAGAACATATGCACTGAAAGAGAGAATGGTTTTGATGGCTCTGAAACAAGTGCACATTTTTCAAGGATATTTTATAACAATGAACAATTAGTAAAGCTGACTGGCCCACTAGCTTTAATTTATCACTAGCAATGTCAGCATTTTTGAGGCTAAGTATTCCACCCTAAATGGGCTTTACGGCCCAAAACTAGCATTTAACATGTTATTTTTCATGTTATGTAATATGTTTCTCTCATCCGTTTGACAGAATGCATGATTTCTGTATCCTTTTTGTGAGCATCAGTGTTGTTTCACTACACTACCCAGCATGCATTACAAAAAATACATACCACTGAGATGTTATATTTTACAGGCGTCCAGAGAGGCCATGAGGTAGTTTTCATTTTCTGGATTGTTATGTTGAAATAACGAGTTAACAATCTTGTGATCTCAAGATAACAAAAAGTTGTTAACTTGAGAGCATGAGTTAATTGTTGTGTGATCTCAAGATAACAAAGTTATTATCAGGATATAACAAGTTAGGTATATTGAGATCTCAAGATAACAAAGTTGTTAACTTGAGATCACGAGTTACTTGTGTGCTCTCAAGATAACAAAGTTGTTATCTTGAGATAACAAGTTAGGTGTCTTGTGATCTCAAGACAACAAAGTTGTTTACCTTTAGATTATTAGTTAAGTATCTCACAAGATACTTAACTCGTTATCTCAAGATAACAATCCAGAAAAATATAGCAACAACTCATGGCCTCTCTACAGAAGTCCAGAGAGGCCATAAGGTAGTTATCATTTTCCAGATTATGATCTTGAGGTAACATGTTAATTATCTTGTTATCTTGAGATAATGAGTTAATTGTCTTGACATTACAAAATAATTAACTCATTACCTTAAGATAACAATGCAGAAGCTCATGGCCTCTTCAGACTTCCGTAATATGTGGCTTCCTAGCAGCAATGTTTACTATCTGTATTAGCCAGCTAGCAGTAAGAAAAACAGCTCGTCCCCAAGAATCCTCCCCAGATTGCTTGTAGTTTTTCAAATGTCCCTCCCATCTTCAGGATATGTCATCAAAAGGATGTGTTCCTACTCTTTTACCTGGAAAATCTCACTTCTGACACCACTGTGGCACCACTGTAGGAGGCGAGTACACATGTTTACAACAGATGTGGTCACGGTTACATTTTTCGTCATTGTCAGAGTTCCCCTTTAAGGTTGCCCTTTGGCGCAGTTTGGGAAATCTGCTTTATAAGCATCTAGTGTGGAAGTTTTAACTGATCCTAGACAATTATATGCAGCTTTAAAACAAGTAAATCCAGTCTGGAATGGTTTGGAGACAGAAAGTCCCTTCATTATAGTCCTTCCACCTACAGCACTTCTCTGACCTGTCTTTTGACTGTTGTCACCTTCAACATGTGACTGTTATAGTTTATCGAAACATCGAAAAAGAAATAAAACAATGTTTTGTAAAGTTTTATTATGTTCCACTGTATAGCCTAGTTTCTTATTCTTAACGTAAAGAAGATGACTTTGACGAATATAACAGAGTAGCTTGGTGGGTGAATCATGTCCTGTGGCAAAAGAAGTCCTCACTTTTCAAGTAAACGATGGTGTTCACTTCGACCTAGTTTATATCCTACTATGTACTCAGTTCCTGTGATCATAGTTTGAGATTTCTTTGTGGATTTCTTTTTGTATTTTATTTATAAATTGTGATCTATTGAGAATGCACTTTATTTTCTGTCAGATTTTATTTTGTTCCGGAAGTACATGTACTGTATTAACGTATTACGTAGCTGTCGAAAAAAAAAAATATTTATAGAAATGTACATAGAAATGCAGATATTCTGTGCTAACGTGAATGTTTTAGAGAAAAAGAGAGAGATAAAGAGTGAATGAAAGGAAGAATCATTTATTACGTACCGATTATTTCATCGCACTCTTAGCAGCTGGTTGAGTTGACAGTTAAAAGCTGGCATAACTTACACTGTTATTCATTTTAACTATTTATTTGTTGTCTACGGCACTTTTGCTTATACAGCAAATGTCATTCGATGCATAAACACCAGAAGTGCAGTATGTATGTGTACTCAAAATAATAAACTGATATTGTATACCTATCATCTGTTTTCATTCATTTAATACAAATAAACATAAACACAGTTCTGGATGACAGCTTATTTTATTCATTCATTTGTTTATCTGTTTACTCTTTCATTCCTTCTTTGTTTGTTTATGTTTACGCAGCACAGCACAAGCAAGAGCTTTTCATTTGAAAGCCACTTCTTTTTTGACTATTGACTCAGCACAGTTCTTAAAGACAGCTTAAGTGTTTACTCAGTTATTTGTTTATTTATTTGCTTATTTATCTGTTTACTCAGCCCAGCACATGCAATAACATGCAATCTAGTTAAAAAGCCCCTTCACTTTGCATATCTGTTTACAGATATTCTTTTATTTATTCATCTGTTTACACAGTTATTCAATTCATTTCTTTATCTGTCTACTTATTCATTCATTTTTTCATTCCTTTATGTATCTGTTTACTCAGCACAGCACAGACAGGACCTCTTTGGCTAAAAACCCACTCCTTTTTTTTAAACAACCATTTAATTATTATTAATTAATTAATTATGTATTTATGTATGTATTATGTATAAACATGTATTTATCTGCTTACTCAGCACTGCACTTGCAAGACTTTTCTTTTAACAGCCACTTCTTTTTTCACAACTATTTAGCTATCAAGTATTTGTTTATTTATCTGTTTACTCGGTTATTCATTGATTTATTTATCTGTTTACTCAGCACTTCACATGCAAAACCTATTTTTTTATTAAAAAGCCACCTCTTGCATAACCGGCAACGTAAACGCGTCGACCAATGAAATGCGCGTCCCTACTTACAGATGGGAAGTGCGTCCAATCAGAGAACGGAGGGCGCCCGCATTAACCAATGAGCTTCTTCGAAGGGCGGGCCCAAGGGGTGCGTCTACAATGACAACAGGAACTAATTGCGCATTAGCTTGCTGGAAAGCCGTAGCGTAGCTTGAAACGCGTTTCACTCACAGTTACTACCGGTAAAACAATACTATCTTGGATGGTTAGAGAAAAAGACACTCGTTTTGATTAGTGGTAGCCGGAATGGCTCCATACAGCCACGGTTTTTCCATCCACTGGGGTTTGGAGGCGAGCTAGCTTTTCCTGTCCTTGCCTTGACATCCAATACTTTTTCCCGACCGCTGCTCCGGTTTATCGTCAGGTTACTATCTGCCGTGGGATTAAAAACGTAAAGGAATAGCGAATATGAGGTGTTCAGTGTTAAGGTAAGACGTGAAGTGTTTATTTATTTCTTAAACTTTCGGCTAGCCAGCAAGATCAGTTCAACTAGCTTGCTATGGTCTTGATAACCGACTCACGTTAACGTTAACTAACCTAACAACAGTTAGCCAGACAACTAACCTAGCTATCTACTTGTCTTGTCGATTATTTTCAGCCAAAAAAGACACGTATCAGTCGAGATTTGTGTTTATATGAGACATTTTTCTCCACATTTCATTCTTACTACACGTGTGCCGTCCCTGTCGGTCCCAAATGACGTTACGAAGCTCAAGTCAGCTTCTTATTCGCCAGCCTCTTGTTCGAATTTTCCCGTTCCACCTTAAATGGCGCAGCGGATCCATTCTGGCTCCTTAGGCCTAAGGCGCCAGAATGGAAGGGCTGCTTCATTTAAGGTGGAACGGGAAAATTCGAACAAAAAGCTGGCGAATAGGAATCCAGATTCAGCCTCGGAGTGATATTCAGCATCAGCCTCAGCCTCTGTGTTGCTGACCTGTGCTGGGCCCTGTTCATACAGTTTTCTTTGAATTGCTGTCGTTCCAGTAGTCATATGTATATTAATATACATTAACATTAACTGGGTCTTTTTCGTTGCTATCAAGCTCACCCTTTGACTGACTCTTACTCTTGCTTGAGCTTTTTAGAAAGGTCCTCCGGGTCAAACTCAGATCACATGCCTGCATTAAACTGCTGTGAGTCCAGTTTTCTCAAGAATGAGTGACTTGAGTTGTAGACCTTAATGCCAGATCAGCAGCATTCTGGCAGATAATGTGGCTCCAGCCTCTTTGTGTACTGTGCAGTCTCTGAACGTCTCCATCTAATGCAGTTTCATTACCCGGTTCAGCTTTTCCGTCACACAAGTCAAGAAGTTGTTCCTTTAAAACTCTCTGACAGGGAAAGGGGAAGTGAGATATTTCAGGCCAGGTTTGGTTTTTTTGCTCTATCCTGAAATAGCTGCATAGTTTTTATTCTAATTTTGCTTTATATAGGACAGAATAGACATCTGCCATGTGAAAGTGTGTCCATGTCTGGGCAGTAAGCATTTATTTGTAAAAATAATGAGAATAAAAGAGAAAAAAGAGGAGTGTATTTGAGGCTTTACAGGAGCAGTGTATGGATATGGGAACTCTTGGCCGATGCTGAAGGTATCTAGTACCTTTCTTGTAGGTATTTGCTGATGAGGAACATTTCCAAAGTGTAGAAATTAAGAAATTGAGACATATTATCCCATAACTTGTACGTAATGGCTAGAAATTAAATGAACATAGGGTGGTTATTGGCTTTTGGACAGTACTATGTAATATTTATATATTGTATAGTATATATGCACATGTATACAAAAGTTCAGACACCCCTTATGACACGTTTTGTTGCTTTTCTGAGTGAAAATAAGTTAACACGTCCTCTGTGGGACGCGTTATGGCACGTTCTATGTTTTGTGTTTTTCCAATCAGCAAACAAAATGAATTAAAGTGTGCACTAAAATCTGTAGATGACATTTTAATTGATTTTCACTTAGAAAATCAACAAAACAGGTCATTTGACCAGAGGTGTTCATACTTTTGCACGCACCTGTATATCTATTATATAATTTATATCAACATCCCAAAAATCTTTTGGCTGTAGGTGTGGCTTGTGTTTTTTGGCACACTATAGCTGCATAGTTACGCAGCGCTTCTAAAGGCATAACATGTAATTGCTAGTCTGTTTTTGTACGTGTAGTTCAGTGTATATCAGCGTATCATCTGCACATAGCGTGCTAGACTGATATTGTTGAAAGAAATTGGGAGGGAAAAAGGAAGTAAACATTGGTGGTAAGGATTACAGGTTGTCTCGTGACAGAGAAACATCACACACCTGACTTTGGGTGTCATATGACTTCCTTCATTATCAGGTGTGTGTTCCCATGTATGCCACAGAGTGATGAGCTGCTTAATGAATTGCTCAACCACACACAGACAATGCATATTTTCAGTGCAGTCAGCAGCCAGACTGGCCGCTCCCCAGTGACTGTACTGCTTTACCACTGATTGCTACAAATAATCACGATACCAGACTAAGCAGTCCTCACGTGTGGTTGCTCTCTGGACGTTGACCTCAGATAACCTTACTTCATTTGACTTTGATTTGGTTGAAGGACAAAGGGCAAGTATGTTGTATTTTGTGCTTTGGAAATAACGTATCAGCTTGACTCCCACCCAGTTTGCTATGTTTGTGTTTTCGCGAGGGCTGGGCGCTATGAACTCAAATTTGTATCTCAATAAAAATATTCCACTTTGGTCATTAATGACCAGGTCACGATTTACGACATACTAAATAAATTCTACTACTATTGCTACTGTTCTACTACTAAAATCACTACTAATACTTCTACTTCTAAAACTGCTTCTGCTGCTAATACTACTAGTACTACTAAAACCACTACTATTTATACTGAAATTACTATTAGAACTACTTTTACTACTACTAAAACTAGTACTCCTAAATGTATTACTGCTACCATTGTTACTATTGTACTACTAAAAGTACTGATGATTACTACCACTATGGCTAGTACTAATATAGCCACTAGTAGTACTACTAAACAAATACCACTACAATTGCTACTAGTCTAGTACTAAAACTACTACTATAGTTACTGCTATTACTAGTACTACTGCTAACAATAATTGTATTAATACTACTACTACTGCTAAAATGCTGCTACTACTGAATTTAATAAGTAATAAAAACTCTTTTTTCCTCCTTTTTTTTCTCCTTTTTTGTAAGCTTGAAAAGCAATAAACATTTGAATTACAAAAAAGTCATAAAAACTCAAAGCCGTATGCTTTGATTGATTTGAAACATTTCCTCAGGCAATCTCAGAGGTCATATGGACCAAAAACATTTTACATTTCAGATGTGGGCATTAATGGAATAACGAAATAAAGCAAGGTTCCTTCTTAGCCTTTAAAAATGAACATGGCACGGCACCGTTTGAAGCTGAAAGCTTACTTTTCTTTATTGTGCAAATGTGAACCATCACACTTCACTAGGGTCTGTATCTCCTGCATTTTCAGAAATGTTGCTGGTATTTCCACCTTCAGCTAACAGTTTTTGTGGTTCATTTTTGGCTCATTGAAAATGGAAAATCTGTATCATGGGACATCATAACCATATCCACTGCCATACCAGTATATCACTGCTGTCGGAAGAAAACCTCGTATCTCGTTTTTCAGTTCTTAACGTTTTTTGAAAATGCCTGTCGCTCTTTATATTGTGTGTAAATTTCATGATGAATGGATCAGCATAAACGGCGAGGTAAATATGAGGTTTTCTTCTGACAACAGCGACATCTAGTACCCCTAGTTTCCGTGTTTTGTGTTCAGATTCTCCAGATAAGTCTGCATTGCTGTACTATACAGTTGTATGCAAAAGTTTGGGCTCCCCTGGCCAAATTAAACATTTTGTGTAATTTTAATTGTGAAGTGAAAAGAAGTAAACACAACCTCTGCAGCAAACTTTTTAAAAATATATCATTTTCTTCAAATGTTAATGCCCAGTTATTTTATATTTGACAAATTTCAGTAATAAAAATAGTAGTAAAATGTTTGATGTGGTTGAACCGTATTTGCCATTTGTCTCTCTATTAGTGCTTTAGCTGTAGGAAGAGACACTAGTATGGTGATTGCATTGCTACATGTTATGATTGCCGTACACCTTGCAGTGTATTGAAACACATTAGTCAGTCAGTGTGACATTTTTAAAGACCGACCTGCATTATTTTGACCAAGATAATGTACTTTTGTTTGATTATATTGACATCTTGATTCATCAAAACCACCCACAGAGACACTCATCTGGAGCTATGATTGGTCAGGATGTTCACAGCACACAGTAAACCACACTGTGATTGGTTATAGGGCTCATTTGCATATTACAATAAAGTATTGCAAAGGCCAATATCACAACACCGATTAACAAACAGTATGTTACTGTCTGTTCATACAGTGTAGTTGCATGTAATTGAAGGCTGCTGATGAACATGGATGTGCTGAAAGTGTCTTATGCTTTTAAGGTGGCGGTAGTGATGTCACTCTGTGGAGGTCAGTTTGAGACCAGAGGATGAACTCCGTCTCTCCCAGCGCCGCTCAGTATGTGGGCAGCGGGGCGCTTCACGATGACCTCGTCGATGGCAGGAGACTGCCGTCCACCTCAGCGCAGGTTCTGGAGCCCAGGAGCCATTTTGGCCATGCGTTGCTCGCTGACAGCAACAAAGAGGGTTCTGGAGAGCCGGACGAAGTGGATCGCCTGAAACTGAAGATAATGTCAGCTTGGAACAACGTCAAATACGGTTTGTTTTAGAGAGCGTTTAATTTCGTATTGTCCCTGTTGTAGCAAAACCTCATGTCAGCTAATGCTCCTGTAATGTAAGTTAATGTAAGAAGATTTTATTTAAATTTACTGTAGTAAAAACTCCAGCAGCACTGCTGTGTTTGATCCACTCAGACCAGCACAACACACATTAACACACCACCACCACGTCAGTGTTACTGCAGTGCTGAGAATGATCCACCACCCAAATAGGGGGTCCTGACCACTGAGGAACAGGGTAAAAGGGGGCTAACAAAGTATGCAGAGAAACAGATGGACTACAGTCTGTAATTGTAGAACTACAAAGTGCACCTATACAGTAAGTGGAGCTGATAAAATGGACAATGAGCGTAGAAACAAGGAGGTGGTCATGATGTTATGCCTGATCAGTGTACATTCTTGTATTCAAATTACAGCAACAGACTTAATTACTCTGCATTACTTGTGTCTTTAAGAGAACAATGTTAATTATGCACGATGCGTTTCCAGTCCTTCATTAATAATTTATGCGTGTATGTACCGGAGACAGCCGACTGCATAAGTTGGACTGTGAATATGAACAGTGCACTGGGAGGGTGTGGGGAAAAAAACACAGCTGGAAAGTCCATAAGCAGTCTGTCGAATCATCCGTTCACACTGTTATGAATTTTATGGATAAAAAAAAATTCCGTGCCGAAGAAGGGAGAGCTCCCAGCCTCACCTAAACAGGCCAGACTTGATTTTTATTCACAAACACCCCAGTAAGCTTTACGTTTTCTTCATTTTATTTATTTTGTGTCAGCTGTTTTTGAACTCTTTTCTACTGGATGGTTTCTGGGTGTTCATAAAGCATCAGCCATTCATTTTATACAAGCCATGTTCAGAGCAGAGGCATTGATATCAACGTGCCTTTTACAGTGACTGATTATTTTTTTCTCAATAAAGTACTGAAATGACTATTGGGTAACCTCTTGTACTGTCTATTTGGCACTGGTTTATATGAGATTTAGAAAGTAACGCAGACGTAAAGGGTAGTCGTAATGAGTAGTGAGATTACTTTTTCCAGGAAGTCAAAAAGTATAGTAATTCCATTACATTTTACTGATGTATTTAGTACTTTGTAATAGAGGTGGGTGTTATGACGAAAAATATGTCACGATATTTAATTGTAATAGACAAAAAAACAACTAGGTATAAATCATTTTTATTCAACATTTTACTTATTGCACTAAATTCATTTAAACAGGACTAATTATGCTGTCTTTTAATGAAACATGCAGCTGTTCAGTGTTGTTTAAGCAGAAAAGCATAGTGTGATGTAATTTATCATGATAATGATAAATAATTTTAATATTGTCAAGCCCTAATTTGTAATGAATTACTTTTGAATTGCTGATGTATAAAAACACAAATCACACATTCATTCTGACAGCCTTTCGTATGTCAGATTCACTTCTCATAAATCACCACTTAAATGTGAGTTTTCACATATGATAGTTTTAGGTTTAGAAATGTTTTCTGTATGAGGCTGCTGGTGTTTTCAAATTCTGTAAAAGAAAAGAAATTGGAAAGCTATCTTTAACCCATAAAACATAAAGAATGTGCTTTGATTCGAGTGATCCTGCTTTGGTCAGTGGATGTTGATGAATATCATCACTAAAACCACCAGGAAGAGTTTAGGCCTGGTTGGTTTTAATGCAAATAAAGAAGCCATTTAATCTGCAGTCATTAACTGCAGGTGTTCGATCTGTATGCACAGTTGAATTAAACAACCAAAATGAATTGAATTGAATTGAAATGAAAGAAAACAACCTCATTTGTTAAATGTGTGTTCTTTCCTCCAGGATGGTCAGTGAAAACCAAAACTGTCTTTAACAAAACGTCCCCTCTGATCCTGATGGGCCAGTCCTTCTTGCTCAACAGTGAAGGTAAGCCCTGTCTGTGTCCCAACCTCCTGAATCATTTGCAAAGGCAAGTTATTGCAGTACAGGTGGTAAACTACCAGGACTTCATTTGAGATGTTTATCTTAGCTGAACTGCTGAACAAAACATTTTGTGAGACAGACGTGTGCTTCTCCTTTGTATCTGGTCAGGCAAGGCATTTTACCTCGCCTAGGATTAGAAATAAGCTGCATGTGACGGTACAGTGAAGACATTTAGGTGTAATAGCACGCCCACTGAAGCTTAAGTGTACCATGAAAAAGTATTCGCCCACCCTTCTTTTATTTTTTCATATTTTTCACACTATAGTTTAAGATGTTCGAGCTAAATTTAATATAAGACAACCTGAATACACAAAATACGGTTTTAAATTATCTTTTCATTTATCGAAGGATAAAAGGTATCCCAACCCAGACCAACTGGCCCCGTGTGAACAATAATTCCTCCATTAGCTACTCACTCAGTTAACCAGTTAAGCAAACTTAGTTGATAAATGGGATCAATGAAACTACACACCTATGATATGAAACTTGATACTGCTAGTTAATAAAATTTCTCCGTACACACTGGTGAATAGTGACGTATTTAAAAAGTAACTACATTTTGATCAAAGATTCTAGGACAGGGGTCGACAACATGCAGCTCATTTTACTGTCCTGTTGCGGCTCCATGGCAGAATTCGATTTTTAGATAAAAATAAAATAATCCTCCTTTGCAGTATAATAAAGCTCTGCTGATCGTTCAACACAGTTTAACAATAAATGGTCTTAAACGTTGAAGTTAATGTATAACTGCTAATTCACCCTTTAACCCTGAGGATTGGTGTGCAGACTGCTGTCACCATAGCAACACAGACAACAGTCTTGTGTAGCTAGTAGCTAACGAAAAAGGAAAGAGAAAGATTTAAGGCAAACATCAATAATTTGGAGATGAATGGACTTATTTGCATTTATAATCACTCCAGATGTTTTCCTGATACGTTTAATCTGCAACAAGAAACTGTCAAACACTAAAAAGTCATGAGGCTGAAGTCAGCGTCTCGTTTGAATTTTCCTGTTTTACCTTAAATAGTGCAGCACAAGAAGCTGATGAATGAGTAGCTGACTTCAGCTTTGAAAAAAGTTCTTTGAGAGACATTTTACAAGAAATTGTTCTACTTTTGAAGAAAAGTTTCCTGCTGGAGATGCGAGAAAAGCGGCTATAGTTGGGATAAAGCTTAATGCAGAGTGTTTTAGTTTATATTAGATTTTTTAGCCTGTACTAGTACATCAGCACATACTGAGACATATTTACAGCCAAGATAGTAAAATGGACATAAAATGTTGAGGCTCTCAAGATGATTTGATTTTTGTGGAAAGGACAAAATGGCTCTTCTTAACATTTGGTTTGCCGACTCCTGTTCTAGGAAAACAAGAATTTAGCCGTAGTAATAGAGGTTTGTTTTGATTTCAGGTTTACTTTAAACCTGTTAAATTGAAGTTCTGTTTAGCTGGAATAAGGCGCTTTAGCTAATTACCACAGTGCGTCATCTCAGACTAGTGTTGAGGTCATGCTGTGGGCCGTTTCCCTCTGATCTTTGCGAGATCTCTCCTTCTCTTCCAGACGAGGTGGAGCGTTTCCGGCTAGCGTTCGGCTCTCGTGTCTGGCTCACCTACAGGAAGGAGTTTCCTCAGCTGGAGGGATCGAACTTGACCTCAGACTGCGGCTGGGGCTGCATGCTGCGCAGCGGTCAGATGCTGCTGGCCCAGGGGCTGATGGTCCACTTCCTCCCTTCAGGTATGTAATATTGGACAAAGGGGCAGGAAGAATGATAGTAAAATATTTCCTTTTGATTTTATGCATGGATTAATGTTTTTTTCCTTTCTGTCTTAAAAGTGTTTAATTAAACAAGTTATTTTAAACCAGACGTAGTTATTACGGTGTAGCCTTAGTTTGTTTTTTTATGTTTTTAAGTGTAGCTTTAGTTTAGTTTTGATTAAATGTGAACCATGCACCATATGTGAAATTAATTAAACGTAATATTTAATAATTATTATTATACTGTTAGAAATAAAGGTGCTGTGCAGGTACATTTCTTGTTCATCAAGGTATAAACAATGTAAATGTTCCCTCAAATGTACAACAGTGGTTTTAAGGTCTGATTGTGTACTTTAAATACATTTTTCCCAGGTGAAAAGTACATATGTGTTCCTTTTCATAGTCTAATGTTTAAAAACAGAACAATAAAATAAAAAGCCTGGAGACGAGACGGGGTGTGTGGAGTCAGTACAGCTTAGAAAATATAATTTCAATGGATTATGGTACAATTATGTTCCCTGACGAAAGGTACTGAGATGTACCCTTGAGGGTACCACCCCAGTGACCCCAGGTGCACTGCCCAGGGACAGTTTAGTACCTTTTTTCTGTGAGTGTAGATATTAGTTCGCATGTAGCTAAATTCATATTTTGGCTCCTTAAAGACCTCATAATTCAGAGGTTCCTGTGTCATTCAAAGGAAAAATATATGTAGGATAAAACATACTGACTTTTGAGCCGTTGTGTTAACCATGAGGTGTGATAGTGGCGATTTTCAAAAATACTATTCATTTTTGCCATCGACAAATTCAGACCTGGAATTTCTAATATGAGCATGATGCCGACCACAGAATGGCAGCACGACTTTATGGGAAGAGACATATAAACCTGAAACTGAAAGCCATGCCTGGTAAAGTCTGGCAAAAATCACATAGTTTCTAGCATTTGTCCCAAATAACACAAACTAAAAAACATTTTGCACGTTTCTCCACAACAAGGCAGGATTTTCCCACTTGTGGCTTTGCCAGCAAGCTGACTGGCTCTTTGTACTGAAAGGCGGAACCTATTTATTTTTCAACCAGAGAACTGTTTACTCTTCTTTTATAACATCTCTGGTTCAATTCAGTTCAGTTTAAAGTGTGTGATCCCCAATATATCAGTTGGCCAAAAAAAAGTGGCGAAATGAAGTCGGACAGTGTGAGATACCTGGTTGTTGAGAATTTTAAAATTCATGTAGTGTGTCCAACAACATGACTTAACTTGGTAGAATAGCAAACCCACGTTTATTTAGAGAGACTAAACTCCAACCTAAATCCTTTAGGCTGATTGGTATTTTTGCCAGTGTTCTGTTAATTTTGCCCACCTAGTTACAGTTGTTGTGAAAGAACACCTTTGTACGTGGAGTCAGTTGTATAGCTAAATCTATCTTTCCTCTTAGATGACTTAATATATTCTGTATTGCATAATCATGTTTTATATTACATGCGCAGTAGTATTACTGTCAGTGTAAGCCAGGGAAATGCATGTCTCTGTTATATTTGTTTGGTAGATTTTTAATCTAAATGAAATGGCCAGTTTTTCCCCTACATTTTATTCGTCCTGTATATAAAATTCTGAATCTTACCTTGAATGTCAAACGGCTGTATTGTTGTAGGATCTCCTACAGACTAACCTACATTAAATCCTCTCTGTGTCTCAGACTGGCGATGGCCAGAATGTTCGCAGTTGACCGATGTTGATTTCGAGGTGCTGAGGCCGCGCTCCCCGTCCCGCACTGCTGCCATCTCCATCCCCTCCTTCAGCTCGTCCTGGGGCGCCGGCGTAATCCAAAAGCAGCCGTCCAGTATAGCTACTAGTGAGGGGCTGAAACGAGCCCAGTCAGGTCGTCTCCAGTCAGGACGGGAGCCACAGGCTGAGGGGCTTCACCGCAGGGTGGTCTCCTGGTTCGGGGATCAGCCTTCTGCGCCGTTCGGGGTGCACCGGCTAGTGGAGCTGGGTAAAGAGTCGGGGAAGAGGGCAGGGGATTGGTACGGACCCTCACTCGTCGCACACATACTGCGGTGAGTAGTCTGCAAGAACACGGGAAAACTGAATGGAATTGAATAGAGTGCCATCTGACTGAGGCCGATGACTCTCGCTTCCAATCAGAATTCACTCTGAAGAAGTCCTGCCTATAGAAGTCCATCCCTCAAACACAGAGTCATTAGCTTGAGCTAAAATATTAAATATTAATAAATAGACATAAACTAATAACGTAATTACACATAAATTAATAATGTAATTTCCCAGTGTTGTCATATTCATTTGGTACGTAAAGAACGTGATCTATCAGAGCTGGAAATTTCTTAGTTTTTTCTTTGTGTCACAAACTACCATTTTCATTAAGCAAATATATGAATAGGAATATACTTCACCCTTCAGTCACCTTTTATTGTCACTCTAATCAAACAAATCAATAATAATCATTTCCATTGCGGTGTGATTTCCATTTTGAATGTGTGCCCGTGCTTGACAACTTGGAAGCTTCACAACTTCACAGGAGAAACTGAAAGATTTATGTATCAGCACAATCCTCTTACATGTTTGTGAACTGGCATCATTTGTTTATTATTGTTTTTGTTAACAATAACTTACCTGTTGGTTGTATTCTCACAAAATACAAAAAAATCACTAATTTGTTAGCCTGCCAAAACTAGTTGGGACAAAGTAGAGTTATCCTTAATTTCACTACATCTAATGTAAATCTGTTTGTTTGTTTTGTTCAGGAAAGCAGTGGCCAGAAGCTCAGAGGTGCAGAATTTAGCATTGTACGTGGCTCAGGACTGCACAGGTGAGTGTAACCAGGTTGTTTGTGCAGTTACTTATACAGGCCAACAGCCCAATGTACTGAATATACAATAGATTTTTGTATTATTATGTGAAAATGTATGATTATAATGCGCTGCATGTGCAGTAGATATAGTACACTAATATACCAATATACAAAACAGTGTATTATTTATAACTGAATAACGTCTTGTTCACAGTAAACATCCTTTTGGAGAACAGTTTGTAATATTTAAATCCACACTGTACCAGTTATTGTATATAAATTAACAAATAACTGTAAATATGGCAATAATTCCAAAGCTTATATTGCATAATATCTCAGTTTTTGTCTTTCATTTCAAAATTAAGCTGTGAATGAGTGTAAAAAAGATTTACACTCATGTGGAAAAAGATTATAACTATAATTTCTGTTTGTGTGTGTGTGTGTGTGTGTGTGTGTGTGTAGTGTATAAAGAGGATGTGATTAGGCTGTGTGATCAGAGCGTGTTGGACTCCGGCAGCAGTTCGGACTGGAAGTCTGTGATTATCCTGGTGCCGGTGCGGCTCGGAGGAGAGACGCTCAACCCCTCCTACATCGAATGTGTAAAGGTGCTCACGAACCGCTAAAGCTAAATCACTTCCACACTTCCAGTGCAGCCTGTCTCATATAATGTACGCCGGCTCATGTGTGATTTTTGTCATCAGAGAGACAGGAGTGAACTGGTGATGATGATTTTCTGATTGTGATGTACGCTCTTAAAGTAGGGTTCTTCAGTAAAGGGAATAGTTTTGTTTAGAACCATGAGTTCTATATAGAACCATTTCATGGTTAAATGAGATTCTTGAAATTGTTCTTCAGATTCAGGAAGAAATGTGTTGTATATGATTGTAGATGATATGTGGTTTTTGAAAATGGTTCTATGTAGCACCAAAAAGGGTTCTTCTAGCTGCCAAGACATTTGACCAGGGGGACCAAGCTTTTAAAATTACAGTTAAATAATACAACTGGCATAAAACTACATACTACATCTATAAAGGCTTATTCCTGTAAGTGTCAGTTGTCTTAACTCTTGCTGAGGTGAAATGAAGTTTAAAATTTACAAAAGGAGCCTTTATGACAATTTCTGTCTGCTGAAATATGCCTTCATAAATTTTGATATGGGTTCATGTTAGTTGCCTCGAAGGGCTCATTTAGGTGCAATATCGGCTGGCGAATGCTAATCTTCAGTAAAGAGATTCCAAAAATGATTTACTTAACCCTCTGCTGCATGGTGTTGCCACATGGCAACAATTATTTTATCTCAATTTTACTAAAAGGCAGTATTATAAAATCTGTGTTTTGCTCTTCAATTGTGGAAAAAAGGTCTTTTACTTTGAAAGAACAAATACTTGATGGCATCACATGACCAGGAAAACTTATTATGATGTTATTATTACCATGCATTTCAAATAACAATTGAAATTGCATTGATTTTCAATATTTGTAAATATTGAGTCATACATTTCACTATGTATAAGCTGGGATTGTTTACACTTGTTTACAATAAAAAGATGTTTTTAGAGAAAAGTGAGATTTTATTTTGCTTAGATTTTATGGTGCTATGGTACGATTACAAATTGTTGCCATATGGCAACAATTTACCAAATACCCCCCTTAAAAAAAAATATATATTTTTTTTCAAATATTTCCATTATTTAATCAATTTTAAATGACAAAAAAACATTAAAACATTTTTATCACCATCACGTAATAAAATCATGCAATAGAGGGTTAAAAAATTAAAGGTACAAGATAAAATGTATTTTTCTCCCATGATCTTTAAAATGCAGGACAAACATTTTCAAATTTGTCCCTCAAAATGCAGAACAGGTGGTCTCATTTATTGTTGTCAGCACATGAAGTTTATAGTAGTGTTTTGCAGCTGCTGAATATTTACAGTATATGGATACATAAACTTTACAAGGTAATAAACAAAGACCATCTTCCTTTTTATAGAACATTCTGAGGTTGGATTGCTGTATCGGGATCATCGGAGGGAAACCCAAACACTCACTCTTCTTTATTGGCTTTCAAGGTAAGTGTAACTTCTGCTTTCTGATTGGCTGCCTGGTCTTTGAGCTGCTATGTGATTAGTTGCTTTGTGTGTTTCAGATGAGCAGCTATTATATTTAGACCCACACTACTGTCAGCCTGTGGTGGACGTCACACAAGGCAGCTTCTCACTGGAGGTAAGATACCGTCACCCTAAACCACAACACAGTGGAAATAATGCTAACATTTAAAGTACTGCTAAAACAATGTTATAAGCGCTCAGTATGTAAATACTTTTGCAAAAAGGGATATTTAAGGGTTTTTTCTGTCTAAAAGCCCTTTTAATACACTGCAATACATACTTCCTGATTTTTGTCATAAAAAATGTTTGGGCTGGAATTTCCCCTACAGAAGACGGCTGGACGGAACAGCAGAACTGTGTGCTCATGCACAGGACGGGTAGTTTCCCCCAGCCAAGAAATATTTGCACTTATTTAGCACATACTTCTGTTACATTTGCACATGATTCAAGCTGGTAGTTTTGCATAACTACAAATATTCACAAGTTATTACTCACATTATTCTGAACACAAACACACAAAAACACACATTTTTATACAGTGACAGGCCGCAGGATCATAGATACACGATAAAAATGTTTCATCAGTCCAACCTAAAAAAAAATCACTTTGCTAATGTGTACAGTACTGTGAAAAAGTATTTGCCTCCTTCACAGTTTATTCTATTTTTGCATATTTGTCACACTTTCAGATCACCAAACTACTTTTAATGTTAGACAAAGATAACTCAAGTAAAACAAAATGCTGTTTTTAAGTTATGATTGCGTTTATTCAAGAAAAATGCTGTTCAGCCCTTCCTGGCCCTATGTGAAAACGTGACTGCCCCCCTAGCTAGTAAAACAAGCAGTTAACCAAATTCAATTGGCTATTGGGTTCAATTTCACTATCCACACCCAGGCATGATTACTGCCAGACCCGTTCAATCTAAACATATCTTGAATAGAACCTGTCTGGCACTGTGAAGCAGACTAGAAGGTCTCAAAAAGCAGCACATGATGACATGTTCTAAAGAGATTCACATACAGATGTGAAACTAAGCCACTGAAATCTACCAGTCTGGGAAGCATTACAAAGCCATTTTAAGGCTCTGGGGCTCCAGCAAACCACAGTGAGAGCCATTATCCACAAATGGAGAAAACTTGGAACAGTGGTGAACCTTCCCAGGAGTATCCAGCCTACCATAATTTCACCGAGAGCGCATTAACGACTCATCCAGGTGGTCACAAAAAACCCCAGATGATCATCTGAAGAACTACAGGCCTCACTTGCCTCAAGTTAAGGTCAATGTACATGATTCCACAATGAGAAGGACACAGGGCGACAAAGCCATCTATTGGAGAGCTGCAAGGTGCAAAGCACTCCTGAGCAAAAAGAACACAAAGGCTCTTCTCACTTTTGCCAAAAACATCTAGAGGACCCCCAAGACTTTTAGGATGATATTATGAGGACTGGTGAGTCAAAGGTGGAACTTTTTGGAAGACATGGGTCCTGTTATATCCAGTGTAAAGCTTCTGCAGGACCTGGAGGACTTGTAATAGTTGATGGAATCACTGGAATTTGTTCTCTATCAGAAAATCCTGAAGGAGAATGTCCACCTGTCATTTTGTGACCTATAGCTCAAGCGCAGTTTGGTTATGCAGCAGGACAATGATCTGAAGCACACAAGCAAGTCCACCTCTGAATGTCTCTCTAACAGTGTCTTTCTTTGTTTCTCTCTGTCTCTCTCTCTCTTTCTCTTTCTCTCTCTCTCAGTCATTTCACTGTAACTCTCCCAGGAAGATGAACTTTAACAGAATGGATCCCAGTTGTACCATCGGCTTCTACGCTCGCAGTAAAAAAGACTTTGAGTCTCTGTGCTCAGCGGTCAGTGTGGTGAGTGACGAATCTCAGTGCATTAAGGATAAATATTAATTTTGGTATTGCCCCCAACAAGTTTCTTCTCCTATCAGCAACTTCATTTTATACAGTTAGAGAAGCTAATTTGCATATCAGAAATCCTAAATTACTAGTTTATGTTTTACGCCTTTTGTGAAAGTGATAACTCGTCCCTGATCTGTACCATGTTGTCTTTTCAGGCGCTGTCGTCGAAGGAGCGCTACCCCATCTTCACGTTTGTGGAGGGCAGAGGGCAGGACTACGGGCTGGATGGCTACAGTGGAGGGAGCACAGACGCATCTACGCATATTATCCCTCCTGGTGGACTCAATGGGAACAAAAAGAGGGGCAGCGCTGATGAGTTTGTTTTTCTGTGAGGAAGAAGCTATGTGTGTATCACCACCCTCTGCTCTTCATGACATTTTTGGACAACTATACCTCTTAAACGAACAAACCAGCGCTGTTCAGCCTAATCTGTCTTTAACTTGTATGGCTGATTACCACAGACAGTAATGCAAAACTTGCTTGCAGAGCAAACCACTGAGCAGTTATGCTGGACATCCATGGATAAGTATTTGAAATATGTGCCTATGCAGTGCGAGTATGAGATGGGATGTGTTATGATAAAACAGTACAGTTCTTAGGATGAGTCAGACATGAGAGAATGTCTCACCAAAGCGCTTTTTTAACCAACATTCAACTGCAACACTAAAAAAAGAAGTTCCAGGAACTTTTGCTTTCCATGAGGTTTTCTGGTATCTGTTGCGAGCCTGTGGAAACTCCGCCCACAGCACTACAGTGACAACATGGTGGAAATCTGAAAAACTGTTCCCGATTCTGAAAGAGTGGATGATACAGATTTATAGCTACATTTACAAATATACCTTTGACTGAAAAATGTATATATCGCTGCTGTCGGAAGAAACCTTGTGTCTCCAAAATGGTAACTTTACAGGAGAAGGAAAAAACCTACTTTACTTTTAATGTAAGTCATTGGAACCAGACTTTTTTCCAAGTATTTGTGGGCTGTTTCTTTTGGTCCGTTCATCGTGAAATTTACATACGATGTAAAGGACAACATGCATTTTCAAATTTTGTCAAAAATTGAAAAACAACAAAAAATTTTCTTCCTGCAGCAGGGATATATTTACTGATTGAATTCAGCAACTGCCCATTGACTTCTGTTGTAAGTGAGTTTCAAGTCAACAGGCTTTCTGCTCTATTCTGAGTCCAGAGAAACGTATTGCTTGTCTATGGTGTTGGCCATACACTGCAGATAAGGCAGATAGAGATTAGGCTGAAAAGCGCTAGCGTGTTCCTCCAGACTGCCACTGAAATTAATGACACTGTCATTGCTGATGTCTGGGCACTACGGAACTAGATGACCGATGCAGTGGCCATTGTGTAAACTGTGTGTGTTGTGCTAGCTGAATGTATGTGTAGCATGAATGCTTGTGTGGGCGTGTCCAGTTTAGTTAATTAGCCACACCTCCCGTCCCAGTCTCCCTACCCTTCTCAGTCCCTTTTTCTTATCTCTCCTGCTCTCTCGCACTCTTTCTCCCTTAGTGGTGAGCAATATGGCAAAAATGTAACATCATGATACTTGAAGACATTTCGTGATAAACAGTACACATTATGAATATATTTAGAACTCAGAAAAACCTCAGAAAACTCAGAAAGACCTTAAAAAAACTCAGAAAAACTAAATTATATTTAGTTTTTGTGAGGTTTCATATGCTGGCGTACCCTTGGTGCACCGGTATTGTCACAATTCACACACTGCGTAGAACTGCATACGAATAAATAGAAGCGCTTTATGGTCTGAATTCTGGCATCATCACAATTCAAACTTGCGAAATTCTTACAATATTTTGAAATTTTAGAGAACTACACCTTTTTGTGAGCCTCTTGCTAGTCGCCTAGAGATGATCTGATGCTAATTTTGTCTTGTCTGATACTGATATTAAATCCTTTAGCGTCAGACGATATTGATACCCATCTGTTATTCCTTCTTTACAAACTATTAAACATTAAAAATAATCTGTTTTTAAAGCTGCACTATGTAAGATTTAAAGATAAGATCAATTGAATTATCATCGCTGAGTCAGGAAAAAGTGAACAGGCTCGTATATGGTGTGCGTGTGCTGTTGCAAGTCGCCCTATAAAGCCATTAATAATCATTTAAAAACGTTGGCTCGGATTTTGCAGGTTTTTAGACCCCATCATATGTCTATACATATTGACATCACATGCAGAGGCTTAAAAAGAAGCTCCGGCTAGATGTTTAGGTCTCAGATGCAAAATCAACATTACACTGATGAAGATATGATGACAGTAGTAGATTATTCACTTACAACAGTTATGTCCATGTTGGACTTCAGTTCCGTAACATAGCAGAATCCCTGTTTCCTTGCTAGTTGACATATAAAGTTCGCTTTGGTATTGTTTTAAGAGAAACCGAGCAGAATGAAAAGCAGGAGCGGCAGAGCTCAGGAAGAATGGGCTTATTCACTTTATCGCTCCCCTTTTATTAACTTAAAGGGGAATTCTGCTGATTTTTCAGAATTAAATCGTTGAGATGTAAACAAAGTCATTCAGAGTGGTTTAATGTGAAATGGTTCAGTTTAGAGAAACAGTGGAGCTGATAGGAACCAGGGGTCACAATATATACAACACAGATAATATTGATTTTATTTACTATCCAAACCACCAGTGAACCAACATATGACTTCTGAGTTTTTACATGTAATGTTGACGATGGTAAAATAGTTGGGGGGGGGGACTTTTTTTGTGACTGTTTTGACAACATCCTTCATCTGCCATTTAGTGGATTTTAAAAAGTACATTTTAGGTCAAAATCTTCTCAAAACGACCGTCTTCTGTGATGGAGCTTTTAGATGCATTAAACTCTTCAGACGTCTGGTTCCTATCACCACCACTGTGAACAGTTCTGACTCAGTAAGTTTCTCTGGATCAGAGCACTTCACACCAAACCACTCTGAATGGCTTTGTTTACATTTGAACCATTTAATTATGCAGAATTTTTGAAAGATGGTTAAAAAAATTGCCCTTTAAATATCTAATGCTGTTATACACGTGGGAAAATATGACGATATTGAATTTTAGCAGTATCATCCAGCGCAACATATCGTCCACGCCTTCTCTTTTTCTCTCTCTCTCTGTCTCTGAAGCAGCGTTTTGCTTGTTCCTGTGCAATGCTGCTGTTTTGCCTTTGTCTCTGTGAAGGAAAACGGGTATAATTGTTGTACATGGTGGTGAGAATGTGCTGCTGCATCTGTAACTGGATGTAAAGTCTTCTCTGTACATATGGCATTGATCACTGCTCAATAAGAGGACAGGTTTGGGTAAAGCTCACTGTACTAGTGTAGTAGTTTTATAATTCCACATCCATGTGTTATGTAAATGACGCTACTGCACATTTGATCATTCCTTGTCTTTATGATTCTTTGGGTTTGTCTGTGTTACGCGACCCTCGACTTCGTCTATTTTGAGTGTTGTTTTTCTTTTTTCTACAGTTTGCGTATTTTATCGTTGGATGGCGAGCTTCGTAGCTGATGAAACACTGATTTATTTTCAGTACGGTGAATTCTTGGAAACCGTCTGCGTTTGATGTCCTTTAGTTGTTAAATTTGGAAATGCTGTTACTGTTGTTCTATTTATAAAGTTGTTTTTGTTTTTTTTTGTTTTTTTTAAGCATTGCCTGAGAATACACCTGTTGAAGCTGTGAAGCTGTTGGAGCTGTGTTGCCTCTTCAATTTCACTAACTGTCTTACCTCTCCAGAAACTTGGTTAGTACCAATCCTATTTAGTGCTAAGGCTATTTATTAAGGAATCTACTAATTATCTTGACGTGTAATTGAGTACCAGTTTTGTGTTTTGTTTTCTGGAGATAAATAAATAAAGATGCACATAACTGAATGGTAAAAACGCCATGCAGAGCCTTTCAAATATTCCAAAATAATGTAAAAATATAGACCACGAAGTTTTAAAATACTTAAAAACAATAAATTTATAGAAAAACACTTTGAGGCCAAAAATGCATGTAAGCGTCATTCTCACAAAACAGCTACAAACAATGTCCGTAAGTATGTACGTCTCATAGTCATCACATAGATAAAGAAAATGGTAATGCTTTGCCATTTTGTCATTTTGCTGTCATGCAATCTTACAGAAACCATTTGTAAGACTGACAGCTGTGTAACCCTTTGATGACAACTGACATAAACCTCTATTATCATTCATAAGGGCTTATTCTACAAGCTTCAGTTGTCAAAAAGGCTGCTTCTGTGGTGTAAAGCACGTCACCACTGGACTCTGAGGCAGTAGAAACTCAATCTATGGAGTGACAAATCATGCTTCTCTATCTGGCAGTCTGATGGAAGAGTCTGGGTTTGGCGAATGCCAGGAGAATGTTACCTTATACATTATGCCTGACTGCATTGTGCCAGCTGTAAAGTTTGGTGGAGGAGGGATAATGCTATGGGGTTGTTTGTCAGGGCTTGGCCAGGAGCCCTAAGCTCCAGTGAAGGGAAATCTTAATGCTTCAACAGAACAAGACATTTCCAACTTTGTGGGAACAGTTTGGGGAAGAACCTTTTCTGTTCCAGCAAGGTCCATAAAGGCATAGCTGGGTGAGTTTGGTGTGGAAGAACTTGACTGGCCCTCACAGAGTCCTGCCCTCAACCCCATCAATCACCTTTGGGATGAACTACAACAGAGATTGCGACCCAGGCCCTCTCGTCCAACATCGGTGATGCAGAAATTCCCACAAACATATTCCAAAATCTTGTAGCTTCCCAGATAGGGGGAGGTTGTTACAGCTGCAAAGGGGGACTAACTACATATTATTGCCTATGGATTTAAAATGGAATGTCATAAAAGCTCCTGTAGGTGTGATGTATAGGTGTCCCAATACTTTTGTCCATATACTGTATATGTGTTCAAAAATACAATGCGATTCTTATTCTACTGCAGGATGCTCCTGTATATAAACCAGAGGGCAGTAGAGGGATGGAGGTATTGCACATACAGGAAGGATATTGCACATACGAGACAAGTACACAAGACAAGTCACAATAAATAAAGAAGTGGCGCCCAGCAGTACAGGTGGCTGGCAGTGGGGAATGAGGTAAATCCCAGGGTCCTGGAGATCTACCACCCAGCAGAGTTTAGCTTCGACCCTGGTCTATCACACCTGATCCAGGTAATGAGGGCTGAACAACAGAGCCAGGTGTGTTGGATGTGAGCTCTCTAGAGTGGCAGATCTCCAGGACCAGTAACCCAACCCAGACCATTTTTCCAGCATGTCAAAGCCACATCATGCCCAGATAGTGCAGAGACTTTTATTCTGAAGGCTTTCCGCTCTGCGCCGCTCATCGCTGTGGTTGGCTGAGTGCGGAAGCTCGGCAGCGGCAGGGCGGCGCTTTCCGCGGAGAGCTGGGCTGAGGACAGGGCGGCTTCCCCGGGCTTCGGCAAACATGGACAGCCAAGGACGGAAAGTGGTGGTTTGTGACAACGGCACCGGGGTGAGTGCGGAGAGCGGACTCGTGCTGTTTTCCGTCCTCCTTTTGGGCGCGTTTTAAACGAGCCCGCAGCAGGACGAGCGAGTGTCGCGGAACGGGAAGTGCAGAGTTGGGCTGGGTTACGCGAAGCCGAAGTCGGCTTCTCATTCGAATTGTTCCGTTCCACCTTAAACGGTGCAGCAGTAACGTTCTGGCGCCTCGGGCTGCCATTGACCGCCGCTCCATTTAAGGTGGAACGGGAAAATTCGAGCGAATAGGAAGCCGACTCCAGCCTCATCTGGGTTACGGCTGGTCGGAGGAATGTGGCTGTCAGCAGTGTGGAAGTAAAGGAAATAAAGCCCTGGCTGTGCCTTATAGACGCCCTTTTGCGGTTTAGACGGGTCACATTAACCGGTTTTCATAATTTTAAGCGGCTGCAGATCAGAAACGGACGATAATGAAGCAGCGTTAGCTGCCCGGCTAACGCCGTGCGCTTCTAGCACTGCCGGGTAGCTTCGCTAGTTTAGCTTAGCTTGACTGTTTTATTCATTCACTTCACGTTCATCCACAAACTGAAGCATTTTACTCGTTTTTAAAAAAAACCTCTGCACGCCAATATGCATTTAATAAACAGCTCCAGATACAAATAGGAAGGAGTTTACGTTGCGGTTGCTTGAGCTAAGCTAGCTGGCTAAAGCTCATTGATTCCTGGCTAGACAGCTAGACAGCCAGTGATCAATGGCAGATTCATCACACCTGTTTTCTCAGTCTTAATAAAGCACTAATAACACTTTATTGTTTTTCCTTGCACTAACACGACTTTCTCAACTGCTCAGCTCCTTTCTGGGGGTTAATATAGGTGTTAGAGTAGATAAAATGCACAACTAAGCATATTTACATTCAAGCTAGTACTCAGGTTTTACATATCTAGAATAAGAGAAAGACCTTAGTAGATTAACACGCTTGTGATTCAGCTCTGTATGTTTATTAGACAGCTTTATCTACTTTTTGTTTTGTTTTAGGTGCAAAGCAACTTACTAACCTGGCATGAACTCACTCGCTCACGTTTAGCAGCATGAAGGTTCACCACAAGGGGGAGCTAATAACACTCAAGTAGCCTTTAGTGCTTCATAAGAGTTCATAATGTCAATTTTTCTCGTCCAGATTGTGACTGGATGCGCCTGGGGTGGATTCCATTCACACTTTTAACTAAAATGTGCCCCCGGTGTAGCCAGATGACATCTTATTTCACTTTGCCATATAAAAAGGCCTTTAACATGTACATAGTTTCCATTTCCTGTTCACTTTTTTTTTCCTGTTACCATACAAATCGACTGCTTTCGTTGGCCCAGAGTGGAGGAAGGTACTTGGTTTGGGCATAACTCCAGCCAGGCATGTCTTCCATCCTGCATTTCTTTGTTTATCCTCTCCCCTGCTGGTCCGAACACTCGACAGATGCATTTCTGCATTATTCTGCATAGATTCCACATTGATCGTTCGCGGATATAGGAAACGCACCATTGATGCAAAGAGTAAACAGCCTCTGATTACCTTTTACAGGAAGAGTGCAGATTGTTTCATTCGTACCGTGTAAAAGTTTGAGTAATCGTACTGTTGCTTTGCATGTGAATGCAAAATGAATTATTGCTATAAACCTGATTATTGTCATTAATTCATGATGCTGCTCTGCATGTAAACATGCTTAAGTGTGGCAGAGCAAAGGAAGTTTCTGTTTAAGAAGTTCAGTACTTTTTTTTTAAGAAAAAGGAAGTTTCCGAGGTGCAGTGTGAACCCACACACACACACACACACACACACACACACACAAATTTGGTTTTCCTATATTTGAGGGGTTTTCCATCCTGCATGGCTGTAGTCAACCGCAGCTCTCTCAAGACAAGACAAGGCAACTTTGCTTATTGCTGTTGTCGGAAGAAAACCTCGTATCTCTATTTTTGTCGCTTTTTAGTTTTTGTCGTAATCTGAAAATGCTTGTTGCCGTTTACATTGTGTGTAAATTTCATGGTGAATGGACCAAAAGAAACAGCCCAGAATGACTTGGAAAAAATTCTGGTTCCATTGACTTACATTAAAAGTAAAGTATGTTTTTCGTTCTCCTGTAAAGTTACCATTTTGGAGATATGAGGTTTTCTTCCAACAACAGAGTAATATAGCATCTTACCTACACTGCAGCCATTCAGAGTGCTTTACAACTGAGAAAATACAAAGATAATTCAAATTATACCTTAAAAACATGTAGGAGAATATAAATTAAAAGCATGATTACAAGAAAACTACAAGCAATAGATTTAAAAGAAGAAATTAGACAGTACACTACAAATCTAATTCAAAATTAAATTAGGATGATAAAGTGCCAATACAGCAGAGAAGTGCAGTGGAGCTAACAGTGTTTTAAACTGAGCTTAGAGCTGCTCATGCAGCGTTTTCAGCCCAGATTTAAGAGTGTAATGTCGGCGCTCTTATTTAAGAGCAGCATAAAAGCTAAACACTGCTTCTCCATGTTTAGTCTTTACCTTTGGCTGACTGACTGACTAGTTCCTGTTGATCTACACCTAACCCACTAATTTAAACCACAACAGTCTTGACCAACGCTTGTCCTCTTCTACTTTTTCTTCTTTTATTAAAAATCTTTCTTTTATGCAGGGCAGCCATACATCAGGTGTTAGTGTTCATTTTTCTATCTGCATCTGTTCGTTTGTTCCTCACAGTGATATAAACACAAAGACATGCACTCATTCCTCCTGTCGGAGTTGCCTGTAATCTGCAGCTGCGCTTTGTCTCGCTGTAGCGGATGAATGAATGAACTTTGATGTGAACCGACTGACTGTGCAAAAGTGGTTAGATTTAAATAGCTTACAGCTCAATAAGGGCTTTTTCCACATCCTTTTACTCTCCAACCTGCTGCTTTTTCAAAAAACAAATCCAGTTTAACTTGAGGCCGAGCTGACTGACAGTGCTTTACCTTACTGCACTTTTTTATGAAGTTCTGTTTCTTCAGCCAGATGTAGCCTGGAGCACTATGACTAATCAAAGAGGCAAAGACGAGCGCATGTATTTTCGACTGCTGACACCAAACCTAGCGTTAACACAGGAAGTTGGCTCGCACTTTGCAAACGCTGAACATGACTCATACCCATACTTACACTGCTGAAGTTGGCCAAGCCTTTACTTCAAAGATAAATTAAAATAAATAGCCTGTACTGATGAAAGGGAAATGTCACAGAATTTTCAAAATTTCTGCATAGTTCAATCTTTGAGGTGTAAACAAATTTCAGGGTGGTTTGATGTGAAATGGTTCATTGCATTGAAACCTACTGACTGATTTCTTTACAGTGGTGGTGATAGGAACCAGGGGTCACGATGCCTGCAACATAAATATAGCTATTTTATTTACTATCCAAAACCATCAGTGAACATATATACATACATATATAGTTTTTATTTGTAATGTCGAAAAGGATAAAGTAGTAGTAAATCTGAAAAGTTTTCTTTTGGGACTGTTTTGCCTTAGAACGCCCTTCATGTACCCCTCCGCCATTAATGGCTTTTAAAAATATATTTCAGGTAGGGATTAGTTAGTTAGTGATTAATCCATTTAACTGTTGACCAACAAACGTTCGACCAATGGTTTCAGTTAAAAAGTTAGTTTAATTTCCGATAAACTGAATATTTGAATTGATGGGTTTTTCATTTAACTTGGACAGTTTTTGAATTGTACGCTTGAGAGCACAAGAGCACAACTTGTTCCTGTAGCCCTGCTAAGTGATGTGCAACTCCAAGTTTTGTAGAGTCAATTCCTGCCACTAGTTGGAGTTTAAACCATCTTAAATGTAGTTTACAACACTATCGCAACTAGAATATAAGGCCACATGACACAGTGATAAGGTAGGCTACGACTGACTCTTCCTAACTGTCATGTTGCTTGTGTTGAGTGTAATCTGTAGGCATCTGTAGACGTGTTTGTGAGCTCATGGTTAGTTCCATGACAAAAAAAAAGTTACAGCTGACTTTGTGTTGATGGCTGTTTAAATTATGGATGTGAGCCGGTCAGTCCATATATGGGTAACGCTTTATTTGGAGTGGTTCTTTGTAGATGATTAATAAACTCTAAACAGAGTATCAGTAACACATCAACAACATACCAGTGACGTAGCAGTAATGCAGCATCTGAATACATTGGAGTAAATATCTTGTAGATGTTCTGTTGATACATTACTTACATTAAGTAGATGTTTTGGTAATATGTTACTTCCATTACACAAAACCCTAACGTTACCCAACCTTACCCAAAACCTAATCCTAACCCTAATCCTAACCATAACCTCAACCCAAAAACCAACCCTGACCCTAATCCTAACCCTAACCTTAACCTCAACCAAAACCTAATCCTAACCCTCACCCTGGCCCTAATCCTAACCCTAATCTTAACCTCAACTCAAAACCTAATCCTAATCTTAACCACAACCCAAAACCTAATCTTAACCTAAACCCAAAGCCAACCATAACCCTGGCCCTAACCCTAATCTTAACCTCAGCCCAAAACCTAATCCTAATATTAACCTCAACCCAAAACCAACCATAACCCTGGCCCTAATCCTAACCTTAACTCAATCCAAAACCTAATCCTAATCTTAACCTCAGCCCAAAACCTAATCCTAATCTTAACCTCAACCTGAAACCTAATCCTAATCTTAACCTCAGCCCAAAACCTAATCCTAATCTTAACCTCAACCTGAAACCTAATCCTAATCTTAACCTCAGCCCAAAACCTAATCCTAATCTTAACCTCAACCTGAAACCTAATCCTAATCTTAACCTCAACCCAAAACCAACCCTAATCCTAACCTTAACTTCAACCCAAAACCTAATCCTAACCCTCACCCTGACCCTAATCCAAACCTTAACTTCAACCCAAAACCTAACCTTCACCCTGACTGTAAATACTAACCCTAATTCTAACCCTGGCCCTAATCCTGGCCCTCTGTCCCTAATTCTAACCCTAAACTTAACCTCAACCCAAAACCTAATCCTAACCCTTATAGGTTTTTGACGTTACTGAGAGTCAGTTGATTGTTTGTTTGTTTGTTTGTTTGTTTCCTCTAAAAAGGGCCACTCAAAATGAAGCGTCAAGCGTATTTGTTCATTGAATTGGGCTGGTAATGGTGGTAAATGTAAGAACACATAAAGCTTAGAAGCTGAGATCTGCTGACTTTACATTGATTGTTGTGTAAACCATGCATGTGGACTTAACCTAGCCTCGCCAAGGCCATATATGTCCCTAATATGTGGTAAATGTAAGTAATTATGCAACAGTTCCAACATCACAGTCTGATTGGCTGAGACTCGTTCTAGCACGAGTTTTTTCATTGAGTCATTCCACTGAGCGTTGCTTGCTGAGTAACAACTGCTTTGCAGCTAATCGTTAGTATGTGTCTGCTGTGATGGAACGACTAAACAAACTTCGAATTAGCCAAAAATTAGTGGGCTGTGAAATGTTTTACAGACTGACTGAAGACAATGTTCAGGTTAATCTGGCAAATACTGAAGCCCTAAAAAGCCGAGTTGAACCTGAGATTGCGAGAGTCTTCTGTCTCTCTCCAGGACAGTGCAGTACAGTTGCTTTTGAATTGGATGTTTGTTGGATATTCAACTTTGTCTCCTTGATTTCTCATGAAATAAATTTGCAAAATTGATCAAACTCACATTTTGTCACTCCTGAGAAGACAAACTGCAACCAAAAATATTTCAAACATCAAACTTCATTGAACACAATTTCAGCTTGTGCCTGCACCGAATAACACCCTCCGTCTCATGGACTGCTGCATATGTTGGACTATGTTGAGTTACTGTCATCTGTTAAGTTAGGCTGCCTTTTTCATTTAATTAAGCCTAAAGCCTGTTTATGTAAAACACTGGGCTGTGTTTGATGTCATGGGTCGTGTCTGCGACTGTAGGTCTGTGGGTTGAATTAATCACTGACTATCGTCGCTTATCGGCCAAAAGAATTCGACAAAACTCACATCCCGAGGCCAAAATCTTATCTCTGAGCTATTGTAAAACAGTGTCTCAGACATCAGACGGTTTATTTATAACTGTTTGATGTCACTACTTTCTGTGAGGGAGCTTTTAGAGGTGTTAAACTCTTCAGACGTCTGGTTCTTATCACCACCACTGTGAGCAATTCTGACTGCGTAGTATTTTCTAGAATGGCTCATTTCAAACTGCTCTGACTTTGTTTACATCCTTAACCATTTAATTATTTTGGATTAGTATTTTTTGGAAAAATCAGTGGAATTTCCCTGTTTTCTTAGTATGATGTTTTGTTGCAAGATTTAGTCCCAGGTACCCCTCGCTGCTTGTCTAAACACGTCTAGACGTTTGCTTTGTTCCTCTTAATTACACCCTGCTGCTGATAGCCACTCTTCAGCGTTAGGGCGCGTGAAGGGTCGGGGGGGTTGTGAGCTCTGAGCTGAGCTCTTTTAGGGTTAGGACTGTACAGTAGGGATGTAATGATAGATATTTTCAGGTTTGATTTGACTTATGATTCTGAGCCAAAGATTTTTGATCTAATTATCTATTAAATTTGTTTGCGAGAAATAAAAATAATGATCTGTTTCGAAAGGAAGCATTGCACGTCAACACGACATTGTGCAAAACAGTGATTTTGTAAGACAACAACAGACTGTTTATGGAACAGTATGAAAACTTTAACTGCCATATATAAAACCTTATATAACAAGTCTACATTTTCAGACCCTACCCACCTGCCCCCCCCCCTAAAAAAAAACAAAATATCCGCATCCGTCAGGTCACAAAATTACTATTAAAACATATGGAAAGACTATATAGACATTAAGTGACACTGAAGCACTAACTAAGTTGCTGTTCCAAGATTTTTATGTCTGAATCAATTTCTGGTTTAATCAGTGACTGAGATTTCCAGAGAAGTCGGTGAGTAAGATACACTCAGAGAAGAGAGAGGACCGAATAAACATTTAAAGTTTTCAGCGGGGAAGTTTAATCTAATAGCACAAAGCTTTTGAACTGCCTGCAGATGAGTTAGACCATTCAGAGGCAACAAAACCTCCATGTGTTGTGACATCGCAGCCACAATTTACTGGCTTTGTGGCACATTACATTCAGGGTTCGAGGCTTAAGCCAGAAAAAGTGGATATTCTGGTCTTCTTGGCAAAATAAATAGGGCTGAACCTTAATTTATAGAAAATAATTGCAGTGTAAGTCACTGTTGCAATTTAAGTTGCAAAAAATTTTTAGTTAAAAAGTCGCAATTAGATATTTTTCCCCAAATCGTTCAGTCCTAATCACAGTTACCGTTGTTTTTTTTTCTTTGGGTGTTTTGATGAATCAGGGTATTCCTGTGTATTTTTTTTAATAATCCAAATCATTTTTTAATATCGCATTTTAATTTCAGCATTGCATTTTTAATATGTATTGCAAGGTGTATCACAGTCGCAGTATGTAGTAATTCACGGGTGTACACAAAACACCCCTGGTCAAATTACGTTTTTTTTTTCTTTTTTCTAAGTGAAAATAAATGAACACATCCTCTGCAGAGAACACACTTCTGCATATTCTAATGCACAATAACTGTTTATTTACTTAATGTAACATATTGGGTGGGGGAGGGGAGGATAAAACATAAATGTGTGTTATGCAGGAGTTACGGCACATTTTATATTTTGTTTTATTTTTCCCCAGTATGTTAACTTGGCAAATAAATAGAAATTGTGCACTAAAATTTGCAGGAAAATGTGACGTGTTCTCTGAGGAGGATGTGTTCACTTATCTTCATATGTAATTTGACTGGGTGTGCAAACTCTTCAGCTTTTTCATAAAGCTGTATAGATGTCAAATGCAGCGCATGAAGTAATTGTCTTTCTTTCATGTGTTTCCTCTCTCTCAGTTCGTGAAGTGTGGCTATGCAGGCTCGAATTTCCCCGAGCACATTTTCCCGGCGCTGGTGGGGAGGCCCATCATCCGCTCCACAGCCAAAGTGGGCAACATCGAGATCAAGGTAAAAAGCAGCATTTCACAAAACCCTTAAACACAGATGCACATCAGCATAACCACGGTTGTTTTCTCCATGGCTGTTGTGAACAATATTGAGATCGATCTACAGCGAGTTACTGCTTCATTAGAAACACCTACCTTGTACCGACACTGATTGGCCATTTTATCGGAAACACCTACAATGTAGGTGCACTTTGTTGGTTTAGAGATGCTGAGTGTAGCCCACCCGTGGCTGCACAGTTCATCACCCCTATCTTGTCTGTCAGTGGAAAGAGGAACACCACTGATCACATACTGTTTGGGTGGTGGATGGTTCTCAGCACAGCACAGCACTGACGCTGAGAGTGGTCCACCACCCAAACAGTGTTCAGCTAAGAGCAGATGTGCGGTCAGAAAGAGGCTCAACGTACATATTTAAAAGACTACAAACACAGAAAATACTGCTGAAAGATGTGAAAAATCACCGGGATATGAAAAATGCTCTCTGTTCAAAACCAAATCCACTGTTTAGTGAGTTAAAAAGCCTTTATTGTAGAATGGCTATGGACACAGCATCGAAATGAATCTTCATCCAATCCTGACTTTTTATTCTTCTGTTAATAGCCATAGGAAAAAGACCATCATAAAGGTTGTATGTCTCTCTCTCCGTCTCTCTGTTAAATGATTATAACATTAAAATGCTTTTGGGAAACTGTCCTACATGCCTGCTCCAAATGGCCATTTAGCCCTAGTTTTGGGCAGCTGTCCTTGTTCTGGCACACTTTGCTGTAATATTCAGAAAGCAATATTCAGTGTTACTTCAAGGTTCGACTTCCATTCTTCTTTCATGTTCGGTTGTTGGCAAACCGTTGATGAAGGTCTGTGTCTAACCAAATAGGCTCTGGATCTTGCGGAAGAGTAAAAAGTTAAAGGTGGATGTTTGTGAATGTGTACAAATTCAACTGGTTTGCTGATGCTAACCATACTCTAGAAGACCTGGAAAAGACTTTTGAAAGACTAAAGTCCCTCTCGCATCTGAAGACAATGTCACAGTTTTTAGTCACAGACTATATTTGCAAAGACTGGGGATCATGCAGGGTCACTATTTGCAAGACTGAAACTAGATTGTTGAGATTATTTCGCTTTATGAACCTGGTGGAAATTTACAAACAGAGAAACCCTTTTTCCCCTCTTCGCTCGCTACCAAAGGGATGATATGTTGGCTGAGCATGTAAAGATCTGGGGCTCAGCCCAGTTCACTGTGGAATTGTATATGCTGGCAGATCATCACCCAGTATTTTTTAAATTAACCTGAAAAATGTGTTTTTTATTTAACATAAAGATTTACACACCAACAAAACTAAACCGTAACAGAACTAAACCATAAAAAACAAACAAACAAAATTAGAGACAAGTGTAATAGAAAGCAAAAAAAAAATTAAGTACATTTATATGCACTCAATAATCCGATAACTGCAGAAAATCAGATTTTGTCAGTAATCCAATCAACATGTTTACATGTACTTGAGTAATCAGATAATGGGAAACTCCAGGTTTACAAGCATTAGGCAGTAATCAGATTTCTGCTTTGCAACCAGCCAATAAACTCAGAAGACGAGACGGAAACGTAACGTAAAACTCAAACTTCATGCTGCGGCTTTTTTTAAAAACATTGCGCCACTTTAGCTGAAAATATGAACTTACATCATCTAGAAGATGAATATTTAAATCCTTCATTTCGTGTTTGGTTTCAGTGGCGCCCAAAAGTGTTTTGCCGCCATCTTGCGACATCCGCCGTCTGATCTCGTGCATGCACAGACTGAGAAATCCGAAAGAAATCAGAGTAAGAGTTCACATGCACTGAGAAATCAGATTACTGAGCTAAAATCCAACTCTCTTTATCGGATTTCTTAATTGGACTTCTAGATCGGAGTATGGCGTTTACATGACCATTTAGAATAATTGGACAACTGCGCAAATCTGATTATGATCGGATTATTGAGTGCATGTATACGCAGTCATTGATGCTTCCTCAGCAATGCCAAGTCCTCTGCACATTTCCTTGCGTTACTGTTACAGACTCAGTGAACTTGAAACATTAAAACAGCCAGTTTATATTTAAGTTAATGTGATTATTGTATTGAAGTGGAACAACTTTACCTTTTTTTACAGAGATTTCAGGCTCTCGCACGTGCTTTCTATCCTTTGCTCTCTCTCCCTCTCTCTCGCTCACCCTCACCCTCTCACTCTCACATGCACGTGACGAAGACTTAAAACTTATGATAATATAAACGGTGTTAATTTTGTTGTAGTATCAAAACGAGACAAAGACCGACTTAAGACCGCCATCCTGACCACCTTACACGAAACAATCGAGATGCAACGACGCAACTCCAGCAAGACTCTCATCATTTTATGCCGACATTGGATAATGTCGACCAAAAACTCTCCAAAGCTGGTGGCCACTTGGGTCAGAGGTTCAGCTTCTTCGTGGCTGAGACGTGGTTGGTATAGTGTAGTGGGTAACGCCTCTGCCTTCTACGCTGTAGACTGGGGTTCAGTCCTGGGATAAGCACCCTACACTATACCAATAAGAGTCCTTGGGCTAGACTCCCAACACTACCTTCACCTACCTGTGTAAAATGATCAAATCGTAAGTCGCTCTGGATAAGATCGTCTGTCAAATGCTGTAGCCAGTGGTACCATGCAATAGATAGCGTCGCCCCCTGGAGTACGTATTAAATTTACCACCAGTCTTTGCCTTTACGGTGGTGGTGCTGCATGTTGTGTTGGTAAGGCACTCAAACACTGCAAGGGTGATACTGTGTCACCACTGCATATTACTTTATGGTCTTGCAGGGCCAGATGGTTCTCCCCAGACATTCTTGTTTTGAGGTCATATCTGGTTCTGTGAGACTAATTACTTCACTGAAATGTCAGTTTGGTCAAGTTTAGCGTGGTCACTGGCCCTCGTTCCATTGTACCCTGTGCTATTCAGTACACATTGTTACCTTCACTGTGTGCTGATAACATTACATACTCTTATCACTAAATGGGTGGACCACACTGTCGCTCACTTATCAGATGAATAAGGGATTTTCAGAGAGGAAACTCAAACACTCACACTCTCTCTCTCTCTCTCTCTCTGTTGCACTTTTCTTGTTTGTGGTTCTTTCCCTTCTTTTGATTTCTCTCTTTCTCTCTTTATTGACATGTTCTAGGGCAATAGAGTGATGGTGAGTGTGTATTTGTGTGTTTGGACTGTGCATGGACTGTGACTCAGGTTGACTGATTATTTTTTCCTTGCAGTCTGTTAGGAAATAGTTTGTCCCGATAACAGAATAAAAATAAGGAATGGGCTAACAACAACTAATGATGTCTGACTATCTGTCTCTGTGTATGGAGTGTTTTTGCCTCAGTGTTGGCTGAGTTTCAGAGCGCTAACCTCGGTGAAGTCATTTTTGTTTCTGTGTAACTGCATCATTATGTTCCTCTTCCTACTGTGCAGCAGCATGTCCAGATGTGTCTCTGAAAAAGGGCGTTATGGGCTCTTCTCAGTCTAAACAGCACAAAATGTACTAAAACAGCTGTCAGAGCAGCCAGATTGGAAGCTTTACACAAGTGCTTCTTAGAAAATGGTATGCAGAACCATTTATTTGGGCGAAAAGCATTTATTTATGGAAAAAAAACAATGCTGACATTTAAAATAACCACAGATATACTGTAAACCTGGTTTCTCAGCGATCCAAATGATCCAAACACATTCAGTGATGTAGGGGTCTGGACTCTGGGGTGGTCAGTCCATTGTTCTGAGAAACAGCAGCAGCTTCTTTGTTTGATGTGTCTCCTTTTCTCAGTAAGAGCTTCTTAACAGCTACACATCCTTTCAGACTCATAGTGCTGAGTGTCTCACAGTGGAAGGATGGACAGAAACTCCTGTGGATGTTTTCATATCTGAATCAAGAGTGGAGCTTGATTTTCTCCTCTCTCTCACAGATGAACGCTTTAAGTGCTGTTTATCTTAATGGGATAGTTTTGGTGGTTTAGCAGGCTTGCAGGTGGTTGTTAGGTGTCCCAGTTTCTCTGTAGCTTTCAATTATTTGAACCAGTTTTGGAAACTTATTTTCCTTTGACTTTCACCTTCGTTATGCAATTGAGATTATTTTATATCTAATCCCAGAAATATCTCTTGAAACATTAATAACTTTCTAAATGTCTCTTTAGACTTTAATTTAATGTGTCTGTCTGTGTCTGATTTAATTTTACAAATCAGTCTTGTCTATTGATTTAGAAACTATTGATCGGTTATTTTGGCAAATATTTTTATTGCTTTATTTTATGTTAATCCTCAGATATTTTTAGCATGTGCTGTCCTGAGAGTCCCTATTTTAAATTAAATCATAAAACAAATAATCAAAATGAAAGTTAGAAGCCTGGTTAGTGAAGACAGAGTGAAGACATGGATTTAGAGCATAGAGTGGCTTCAGTTAGCCTCAGGCTCTGCAGCAACTATGGGAGGTTAAAGTTTGTTGATGCTGGACTGCTGTGGAAAAACTAAACAGTGGAGTGAAGTCAAGAATTTGACTGGAGTGATTTTTTTCCCCCCAAAGGCTGCATTTCTGTACTACCACATTCTTTGGCTAACACATGGTAAACTTCACCGGGCTAATGTGCTAGCCGAGCTGTTCTTTGATCTTTTGACCTTTGACCTGTGAACCTGGCAGGACCTGATGGTGGGGGACGAAGCCAGTGAGCTGCGCTCCATGCTGGAGGTGAACTACCCCATGGAGAACGGCATCGTACGTAACTGGGACGACATGAAGCATCTGTGGGATTACACCTTCGGCCCCGAAAAGCTCAACATCGACTCGCGCAACTGCAAGATCCTCCTCACCGAGCCCCCTATGAACCCCACCAAGAACCGGGAGAAGATCATTGAGGTGTGTGTGTGTTCTAAGCACTGATAATGCAGGGGTTTTTTTTTGCTTTAAAATATTTCTTGCTTTAAAACTGTTTTTTAAACATTCGCTTTAAAGCATTTCTTTCATCATGTGCGAGCACTGCCATTAAAAAAGTGAAAGCTATTTTTGCACAGTTATTCTTAAAAACCCATCATTTAGAAATTCTAATGTTGCTATTAATGAGTGAAAACTAGTAAGGGGCAAAGTTAGCGTTACACTACTAATATGCTGTCTGGTCCATTTGAGTTGTTATTTATTGTTAGCAACATTGGCTTTTGTTGCTAAGTGAGTAATCTTGTGTGATAGTTTGTCTAAGCCTCAGATTGTTTGTATTAAATACAAAATAATTCAACACATCATTAATTTAGCACCAAATTTAAAATAGCTTGTTAGTAAAGAATTATAAAATCTATATAAAAATAAACATTTTATGAAATTTCTCAAAAATATATTTCACTTCAGTGTATTTATGTGCTCTGCTTTGTATCTACATTGCACTGCTTTATTGCTGACTTTGTCTTCTTATATAGAAATAAATGTTTTGTCTCTCTTGGCTCTCTGTAGGTGATGTTTGAGACGTACCAGTTTGCTGGTGTTTACATCGCCATCCAGGCCGTGCTCACACTCTATGCTCAAGGTACTCTAACCCTCTTACAGCTGGCTAACAGTCTGAGAAAGACCTGTAGTTTTTTCTGATTTGTCTGGTTTGATGATTTGATTCACTTACAGGCTTCTACTGTGTGCGCTGCTCACATTGCTGGCTGGTTCTGATGTCAGTATTTCTTTCTCTTTCTTTTTATTGTGTGCGCATGTAGGTCTGCTGACCGGTGTGGTGGTGGACTCCGGTGATGGTGTGACTCATATCTGTCCGGTGTACGAGGGCTTCTCTCTCCCTCACCTCACACGTCGTCTGGACATCGCAGGCCGAGACATCACACGCTACCTCATCAAGGTACGTACACTTTTATACAGTCAGTCCCAGGGAGGCACATGCTTTCACTCTAGGACTGCCACAGTTAGTAAAGTTAGCTCTATAATGTTTGTGGTACTGAGCTCATTCTGGAAGATTGCAGTACTCTACAGGAAGCGTAGGTGATAAAATGGTATTGTTTCATTTAAAAGAGCACTCTAGGTTTGTTATACAACCCCATTTCCAAAAAGGTTGGGACGCTGTGCCAAATGTAAATAAAAACAAAATACAATGATGTGCAAATCATTTAAACCCTGTATTTAATTGAAAATTGTACAAAGACAACATATCAGATGTTGAAACTGAGAAATGTTATTGATTTTTGAAAAATATTTGCCCAACAACAAATGTAGCTGCATCCACAAACGCAAATTAAAACTTTAAAATATAGAAAACAATAAAATTTCTCAGTTTTAACATTTGATATGTTGTCTTCGTGTTATTTTCAATTTTCAATTTATTTTCAAGTTTTAAATGACTTGCACATCATTGCATCTTGTTTTTATTTACATTTTGCACAGCATCCTTTTTTGGAAATGGGGTTGTACATGTGGTCATTCTGACAAATGTTAATGCACTACAGGACGTGTAGAAGACGATATGGCTCTCAGTGTTTCATTTAAAAAAAAAAACACTATAATGTCAGTTGTACAGATTCCAGTACGCTATGTTAAGCATAGGGGGCGATATGACTTCAAAGGTTTGATTTAAAAGTGCTCCTTAATGCTCTATAGTTATCGTATTAGGATAGGGTTTTATGGCAGAAATGTAATTACTCGATACTTAGACATTTTCATGATGTATCACAATGTTTTGATTCACAGACACAATGCACTACTAGTGCTACGTTTAAAACGTCATCAAAAAGTCTGTACAGTGATTTTCATTCAACATCTCACAAACTGCACTAAATCCAATGAAGCAGACATAATTATGTTCTCTTTTAATTACACATGCAGTTGTTCAGTGTTCTTTAACTACTTATGATGTCCACGATATACTCAGAGAAGCACGTTCAGCACGATAGCAAGATTTGTCAAGATAATGATGAAATGTCTTTATATTACCCACCTCTAGTTCATATGATTAACACAATCATTCTGGCACAGTGCAGTACACTGCAGGAAGTGTAGGGGCAATATGGCTTCTAGTGTTTCATTCACAAGGTGCTCTTTAATGCTCTATAATGGTAAATGGGAATTTCGGTCCGATGCCCGTAATTTTCATGTACATATCTGCCGATGTGGAGACATAACCGTCTATAAAATGTTGAAATTGGGACTAAATCTACCTGCATTAGCAGTTCAGATTTAGTTCTGTTTAGTTTAATTTAGTTTGTCTGTAAGGTTGCAAATGCAGTAAAATGAATAAAATTCATTGTTTTTACCACAGTAACCCAGCGTCCTCTAAGCGTTCTGCTCTTTCTGCTTATGATAAATACATCATTAAATGTCAGTTTGAAATATTGGACAAGTGTAAGCATCTGTCTATCTTTGAAGCAAATATCTGCTGGTTCTGATCATCATGCATCACTAAAAATACAGGCAGTTGCTGCTTGATCAAAGCTCAGGTACATGCTCTTGTGTGTGCTCAGACACACAAAAAGAAATCTCTCTCTCTGTCTTTTTGTATGAACTTTCCCCTCTGTGTCTGATCTTGTGTAGCTGCTGCTGTTGAGGGGTTACGCCTTCAACCACTCTGCAGACTTTGAGACAGTGAGGATGATGAAGGAGAAACTGTGCTACGTGGGTTACAACATTGAGCAGGAGCAGAAACTCGCTCTGGAGACCACTGTGCTGGTCGAATCCTACACCGTGAGTGGAGACACATACAAGTGGACAAAGGCGCAGTCAGAGTCATCCTTGCTCACTCCAGATGTGTTGAGTGAAGAGCAAAATATAGTTTTTTCATGAAACTACACTACATTGAACACAGAAGAGCAGCAGACAACAGTGCAAAAAACAATAAACACAATAAATACAGACCATATCCTGTACAAGCACTGTACAAAAAACACTTCAATAGAATATACAATAACTATACAACCATTAAGCACAGGACTAGACAGTGTACAATGGGGCTGGAGAATAGATCCAGCTGCCGGTCTACAGCAACACTGACTGCTGTGCATGTATTATCAGTGCATTGATAATTAGAGTCTTTAGCAGCTGAACCACAAGCACTGTGGAAATCATAGGCAGTGTGTACAGATTAAAGTGTCTGTGCATACAGTATTTATACTACATATAAATGGTAAACACTTTCACTAAATTGTAACACTCATGTTACTAATAATTAATTAGAAATTCACACACACATTCATGCTCACACAACACTCTGGTGCACACCTTCACACAGGAAGTCACAGGTAGTAGTGTCTGTAAAGCACCTTTTCCTCCACCGGGGGGCAGCAGGGGAAAGCTGTAAATTTCCATTGTCAAACTTTGGCTGCGTCCAAAACCACACACTACCACACTAAATACGGTGTGTCAGAATATATTTTGATTCTCTTGGTCATCAGAATGGTCAGACAGATGAGGTAGAGGATGTATTAACTTATTTAAACAGGGAGCCCACAGCTTTGCATAAACTGTGTGTGTGTGTGTATATATATTAGTCCTACTATTTATGTATTCATAGTAGGAATATTATTAATTTAATATTATTATTGAATCTCCTCTCTCTAGCTACCAGACGGAAGAGTAATAAAGGTGGGAGGTGAACGGTTTGAGGCTCCAGAGGCGCTCTTCCAGCCACACCTGATCAACGTGGAGGGGGTGGGCGTTGCTGAACTGCTCTTCAACACCATCCAAGCGGCCGATATCGACACCAGGTAGGTTACCGTGGTTATCACAACAAAAAGACACACCGTTAAAAAAAAAAACAAGGAAAAAAATGCACAATAATACTAATGTGAACACTTTTAAACACTTCTCGGTTAAGTATGGACATTTTAAGCTGGTAAATACAGCCCATGTTATTTGAAGCTTGTAACAAACAATAACCCCTTAAAATCCTATTCAAATCAATTACTCAGAAAATACTATGAATTCTTCACTAACTACTACAGTAAAACTGGGCATGTGCTGATTTTTAAAATATTTCGATCTCCTATTTCGAAAATGGAGAGCATCACATGCTTAACATCAGTGTTTCAGAATTTCTTGTGTGTTTGTTGTAAGGGTGTGCACATTAGACGATAGGGCAAAAACAGACGAGTTTTGGCTACAAAAATACACTCAAAATCCCAAATTTACCCCGTTATGATGACACAAACAAGGCTATGTTGGACTGGACCTGTTTGTGCCTTTTACCTCACACAAGATGCGTAGCAAAAACTGGGAATGAGTTATGTGATTGAGAAACAGAAATCACATAGAGAGCTGGAGAAATATTTTACTGCAGACCAGAAGCTGACTTGAAATTGTAGAGAGCCTTGACGTCTTGGGTCCCTATGTTATAAATATGATAAATGCTTTGATTGGCCTGTGTTCAGCAAACATCTTGTCTGTCTCTGCCATGCGCTGCATCTCACCACGTGTTCTCTCTTTGGCTGTTGCCTGAATCACTTGTTAGGATATGTGACCGATCATCTCACACTACACAACTCAAACGTTTTGAGTCATGAAAATCTAATGAAAATATCAGAGACCCTCTGATCATTACGGATTTCGATCGGAAGGCTTAAGATTGACTCGTTTCTCTTCTCAGACTACCAGATTATCTGAGCCGTCAGTCACTTATGACCGAGCTGGAAAATCACTCCAGATTATGAAAATTTCTTGGAGATTGTGTAGTGTAGGTGGGCAATGTGATGATATTTGTATTATTATTATTATTATTATTATTGATTTTGGGCATATTGTCTATCATCAGTACTTTAAAAAATCCTGATTAACTGCATGTTGCATTTTTAAAGAGAGCATGAATCCTGTTTAATTGGATTTGTGTAGTTCAGTATGTGCAGTATTTTGAATAAACATCATTGTACCCAGAGTTATGATGGCCTTTTTAAAAATGTGACGACTAGTGCATTGTGTCTTTGTCAAAACATTGTTATATGTATTGTGTATCGCAGAGCTGTCTTTGTGTTGTGGTGTGATATGATACTTTTGCCTAGCTGAAATAATTTTTAGTAACTGCTATGAATCAAATAACTAACTGAAGTGCAGACCACCCCCCCCACCCCAATCCAGATTTATTGGGTTTAAAGGGATTAAATCTGAATCTCTCTCTCTCTCTCTCTCTCTCTCTCTCTCTCTCTCTCTCTCTCTCTCTCTCTCTCTCTCTTTTTCTCTTTTAGGGCTGAGTTCTATAAGCATATCGTTCTGTCCGGAGGTTCTACGATGTATCCTGGTCTGCCATCTCGCCTGGAGCGTGAACTCAAGCAGCTTTACTTGGAGAGAGTGCTAAAAGGAGACGTAGACAAGCTCTCGGTTAGTACACAAGGTTTTCTGTGGTAATAGCGGCCTATTACTTCTCCAGTTTTTACTGAAGAGCACCTAAATTTACCTAGAAAATACAATAAAAACTCAGTGGAATAGTGTAGTGCCATGTTGCACATCCGCCACCAGGTGGTGCCATGTTTCCACTGTCACACAGCTTGGGGCTAGATGTTCCCAACACATAAGCCTGCAACTGTGGTCATTTAAAGATGAAAAGATGCACTGAGTAATTTTAGAACCAGGACCTGATGAGCTGGTCACATAGTAATAAAAGAAGGACTTAATTAAATGTACAGTTTCCCCTCTTATGCCACACATAATCAGTCAGCCTTGACATGTTTAGTGGCTGAAGTTCCCTTTTAAGTTTTGCACCGGAGCTGTGATGCAAAGGCAGCTAAATAATAGAAACTTATACCCCACCAATTACCGGGTTCCCACAAATCCATAAAAAATATTTTTGAAATCGATTTTAAAAATTCAAGGCCGCTTGTCATGAACAACATGCCACCAAAACCATACACTAATTACACTCTCACAGTGTTTTTCACCCACAACTCACCACCAGTTCTGCTTTACCAGCAGCCACAGCACTGGTTTTAAACAAGTGTTAGCAGAAACAGCAACTTCAAAACAGAGAAAATTACACGTCACATAAGTAAACCAATAAAACAAAAGCGCATATCATGAAGGAAGTGATTTCACTGCAGCATGTTAAAGTACCTTGCAGCCACATTGTCAGATCTGTCAATCAAATTTATTCATACTCCAATATTAAACACTTAATGGTATGACCATTTTCAAAATAGGCTTAAAAGCGAAACATATCAGTCCAGAATACCACATTATGCATATAATAAAGGTGAGAAGATTTACTGTAATGTTAATTCACAGAGTAGCATCATTTTAACTAAATTGTGTAGCTGCATTATCTATGAAAATACAGATGAATCAGACTTGGTATTTGCTGATACCTAATATTAAAAGACTCTGATCAGATCAAACCAAAAAAATCAGAAGAAAACTAATCTTGTCATCAGTAATTAAATTATACTGATTAAATCGATGATGCCTGAAGACAGTTTGAAAAGCCGTCTAATCCGGAATAGTCCAGCAAACAGAAGAACCCAGCTGACGGTGATCCTGTGACAGCAGAGCTGATAAAGAGACACACATTGAAAAAAGGCAGTGCAGTCTTTAAGGCTCCTTTCACATCCAGTTTGTTTGCGAAAGAGTTTGAAGTTTTTGTGATATTGTATTGTTTTCATTTGGTTTGTTTAGTTCCACACTTTAAGTGTGCCAAATTATACATGTGTGTTTGTTAATTGGTCTAGAAAAATAGAAACACAGATGTTTAACGTCTACAGGTTTCACATTCAGAGCACTAATAATATAAACCATACTTGATATCTGAGTCTTTATGATTGAATAATGTAATTTAGAATTTAACCCGATAAGTCGCTCAAAAATACATGCAGTGATCCATGTGCCAAAATCTAAAGCATATCGTTGCTGTTATTTTATTGCTCGTCTGCTGTTATTAGCAGCAGTGTACACTTGGAATCGGGGATCAGTGTTTTTTGCCAGACCACGGTTCACTTAGGCCCAATTTCATTTCACCCCTTTCCCCTACCACCTAGCCCTTAGGCTCCTTTTTTCGGGGTAGGGTGTCCCGATTTTTGTTGAGGTAGGGGTAAAAAGAAGCAATGGGGTTGGGCCTTATTAAAAACCAGTGATTTTTCTTAAAGTCTGAATCACTGATTTTAAAAACTCTACATTGAAGTTGTTTTTAACCCGCCACCCAAACCACAGCGAGTTGGTAATTAAACTCAAAGAAGTTGTCTATAAATATTGACAGCAGACAGCAAAGAAAGAACAGTAGTAGCTGCGATCTTGAGGCAAATCTGCGATGGTTTAGGCATGCAGTTTTCATAATGACGCAAAACACATGAACTTCAGACACCAGACATAGCTTGAGTAGACTGAACTGTTGAGAAGTTGTTTCAGTGTTGCTTGCATGATTGCCGTTTGTAAACAGCCGAATCATAAGCCCTTAAAAATTGACTCCGGATGGGGTTGGAGAGTTTGTCAGAGTTCCTGAGGCATCTAAAAGGAGTTGCTTCCAGGAATAAAGTATTTGTAAACAATAAAACTAAAGTAAACGCAATGGCTTTAAAGTCACAAAGTGTGACTTCAATAATTGCAACAGTGCAGCTTTTTGTCGGGTCTGATTAGGGAAGTTACTTTGGTTTGTACTTCACAACCCAAATTGGGGTGGATTTTGCACTGCATGCTGTGGGAACCGTTTACCATTGCACCATTGGGCCATGTATGGTGCGTGAAACGGCCAGCGAAGGGTTTTATTGCAAAATGCATAGACCACTTTCAAAATACAGGCTGTTGGGAGTGGGCTTACAAATACAAGACACATCAGTGCCTGAACTTATCACATTATGGTAAAACCACCAATTTTTATACTATTTTTAGGTAACGTCACAATTCCCGTCTGTGTTTTATCCGCGAAAAAAAACATTAAATTAGGGGTGGGTAATTTGGCAAAAAATAAAATTGTTTTAAACGTATAATATTAGGTATAGAGTGATTTGTATTAAAAATTTCACATACTGTGCTGCACTACATCCAACTAAACAGGACTAATTATGCTTTCTTTATAATAAAACATGTCAAGTACTGTTTTTTATGATATAGTTAGGAAAGTAATCATGTTGCCCACCTCTTGTGATGGAATTTATCACCATAAGAATAAAACATTATCCTGTTGCCCACTCTGCCCTCCTCACAGCAGACTGGTTTGTTTCCCTGCCCAAGCAAGAACAGCACACTACACCAGTAAGACGTCCTTTCCTAATGCTAAATTCGCAGAGCTCTGTAACATGAATAAAATACAGGGTGATTCAAAACGATTAATCTGATTTCAAAATGCCATATTTTTACAACCGTGAGGAACCAATCACATACCAATTGAAAGAGGGGGTCATAGAGTTTGTGACTGTCACCGGAAGATGGCTCCCTTCAGTCTGTGAGGAGATGGAGACCCCTGAGCAGAGAGCGTTTTGCGTTCTCCACTTCAATAAGAGCAAATCCATCATACTTCCAACAGCTCAGAGCGTTCGTTGTTAGTTCCACAACACTGGATGATCTCCGAAATCGCACTGAAAGAGCCATAAGTTCAGCGACACCCAACATGCTCAATCGAGTACAGGATGAATTTGACTATAGCGTTGTTGTTGTCCGCACAGCTGGAGGAGGTTCATATTGAGCACTTGTAAAATTACATAAACTTTATGCTCAACTAAACCATTTACAATTTACTGCATTGTTCCTTTGAATGATTTACAATTGAAATAATTCATTTTGAAATCAGATGAATCACCCTGTATAAGTCGCTCTGAATAAGGATGTCTGCCAAATGCATACATGCGAATGAAAAGTACATTTTTTTTTAAAAAAGATGTACTAATTATTTGTTTTGTTAAAATTGAAAGAAGCATTGTTGAGTCGACCAAAAACATGTAAATTTGGGGTACAAGCGCTGCTGTGAGTCACCCTGTAACTTCTCAAATAATAATTAAAAGTCAGGTACGACGGGTCAGATTTTGTGGGAGTTCTTCAGGCCACATTGTGCATCTTTACATATTAACGTCACACGCACTCAAAAAGAAGGTCCGGTTCGATCTTTAGGTTTCGAATGTAAAATCAACATTATACTGATGAAGATATGATTATTAGGAGGTAATTCACTTACATCCTTAGAAGACACGTCCTTCACCAAGTTTCAGTGCTCTCACAATCATTAGATTCATCCACTCTGGGAAAGGAAGCTGAAGCTGAAGCATAAACCATTGTGTGTGCAGTTATACGTTTCCACCATAGAGGTCTCCAAATCATCAGATCTTACATAGTGCTGCTCTAATATAATGCTGTTTTTTACTGAACTGAGATTTGCTTTGTTTTTACTCTCCACCATCACTCTCTCTTGTAGACAGTCATTAATATGCCCGCCACAAGAAGAACAGATGAAAAGACATAACAAGTCTCTCTCTTTCGTTTTCTCTTTCTTTCTCTCTGTGTAGAAGTTTAAGATCCGTATTGAAGACCCTCCTCGTCGTAAGCACATGGTGTTTTTGGGCGGAGCTGTGCTGGCTGACATCATGAAGGATAAAGATAATTTCTGGCTGACTAGAGAAGAGTACCAGGAGAAGGGCATGCGTGTGCTGGAGAAACTTGGCGTGACCGTCAGATAAACCACACACACACGCGGAGAGTCATGTGCACACACACTTGAATTAAATTCACGTACGCAAACACAAACAGGGTGGCATTTTGGCAGTGTATAAATGGGGAATAATACAGTTGGAATAAAATATACTTGATTGTAATAATCAAATACTTGAATTTTACAGTTTCCAGTCTAAAGTGCTATTCAGATGGGATTAGTTGTATATGGGAAGGTGGGCTAATGTAATTTCACCACAGGACGTCTGTAATGTTTATGACCGATTGTGCAGGATAAGAAATCTCAGTGTAGCCTACAGAGATTGACCCCTAGACTTACTGTTGTTATTAAACGTAAGGTAATAAAGGTTAAATATGAATAAAAAGGGAATAATGAAGACTAATTAGTCAATATTTTCTGTAAATCATTTGGTGACAGCTATACAACATGTAACTAATGTATCTACGAGACTGAGAAATAAATGTATGGGCCCCTGTGTGAGGCTTAAAGGGCAATACCACTGATTTTTCAAACGTTCTGCATAATTAAATCAGTGAGATATCCACCATTTACGTATTTTTAATACATTTTACAGCAAAATCTTATCTCAAAACTGTCATAAACCAAGCTTTTAGAGGCATTAAAGTCTTCAGACGTCTGGTTCCTATCACCACCACTGTGAACAAGTTTCTCTGGAACGGAGCATTTCACATCAAACAGCTCTAAATTACTTGTTTACATCTTAACCATTTAATTATGCAGAGATTTTCAAGAATCAGTGGGTTTCACTTCTGAGAGGTTTAGCGAATAACGTTATTTGCATTGTCATTAACTTAGGAATTTACAACCGACAGTCAGCACAGCACAAAATCAGAGATTTATGTCATTTATACATTTTAATGTTCAGTACTTTTGGGCCAAGAATGGCACGTGAAAAAACTGGACAGAGTAGTGTCAACGCTGTAGCACACAAGCTAGTAAACTAGAGGAAGGACAGGCTTGATTTGGGCCACAGAGAACACAAGTAAATGCTTCTTTGAGGGCCTCCATACCTAAGAGAAACTGTGAAAACTCCTTTTTCACAAGATATAATGGAATATTTACAGATATGGTCATTCTCGCAGGATTATATAACCTGTGCTTATTTCTTTGGTCCGTTGTAAAGCAGGTAAAAGCCACCGGAATCTGACGCTGGAGCAGATTCTTAAAGATCACTGGCTTCATATGGGATTGAAATCGCTGAGAAACACTGGTACCAATTACGTTAATCCACCTCCACATGTAAAACAAATCCTGATCCAATAGTGCTTTGAAATATCCTCATTGTCCTATTGGTGCGACTTTCTTTGAAGAGTTCTGCCTTTTGAGGGCGATAACAGTCAGAAAAACGATTGATTGGTTAGTTCAAAAGTCTTGCATTCAAAATTACTTGTTTATGCTGCCAAAATTAATCCTAGAATGGAGTCTCTCTCTCTGTGTCCGGCTCTCTCTCTCTCTCTCTCGCTCTCTCCCTCTCTTTCTCTCCCACCCCCCTCCACTTAGCCATTTAGATATTGGTGTATTTCACCAATTCTTTTTGATGTTTTATTACCACAAATCACTTTTCCTTTGGAAGAACACATAGTAGAGAGAGATGACAAAAAGAAGACGGAAAATCAGAATATCTAAAAGAAATAATTATAATAATTATAATTGGCTGTGCTGAGTGAGTGAATGAACATTACAACGAACAATATAATATTTAAGGCCGATGGTATCAAATGTGTAGAGGCACCTTGTCGAGGCAGGCTGCTTTTTTCAAAATGTAGAATGTGTATTACTTTTTTCCCCTTTCTTCCTGTCTCTCATTTTTTTATAAATATATATTTCCTTATCTGTGTTCTTCGTTTTCTCCGATAACAGAAGTGCACAGTTTGGCTGTGTTGTAAATGACATTCTGGTCCCTTACATAGTGCATTACACTGAGCTGCTAAGTGCACCAAACAGTGTAGGCTAGTTTGTAATGCCACAGTGAACTTGTAGAGAGGAGAATTCCCACTCTGCAATGTCTTCCGGGTTTCTCAAACGCTAGAGGGCGCTCCCGAGCGAGTTCAAAATGAATGGGTTAAGATGGAGCATTTGAGCGAAATCATAGTTTATAAATGCTTAAACTTTTTAATATAAAGGAATTCATTCATTTCCTGAACACAGCAGCATAAAACATTTTAACACCGCTGTCATATTTTAAGAGCTTTTAAACTCAAGTTATAGGAGTTTAAAACGGTGCCTCATGTATATTCATGACGTCAGTGAGCGCGAACAGCCAGTGAGCTGCTCCGCTCACCAACCAGTCAGCACTCGGTCCCAGTAATGCTAACGTCCTGCTGCCCAAAACCTGTTTGCTGTAGAAAAAAGGAAACATGCAGGTGAGTTTTCTTTGCTTTTTTAGTAAAATACATCCTCCTACTTTCTAAAATTAAAGGAAAGTTCTGGGAAAGTGATTAGAAACTATTTTAACCTTTTCGTTTTAGCCTTTTAGCTCCATTTACTCTCATTCATTGAGGACTCGCTCTCTGGCGCCCTCTTCTATTTTGCAGTCATGTTTTTGATATAACGGGGGAAATAGGAAGTGGCTGCCTCCTCATAAACCGGCTCTGGTCTTACCCCATCGGGACCAAATAATTAGCATTCCCACAGTGTTAAAACACAGGCAGACCTAAAATTGGTGCAGAGGACCCTCCTTTAATCGAACTCTCCTAAACTGGCCTTGAGCAAAAGAACCATTTTTCGGAATCAGCCGGATACCTACGAAATAAAACAGGAAACATTTGTGATGTTTTGCGATGGTTTTTTAAATTCTGTTTTTAATGTTTGTTAACGCCTTCGTGAAAGATACTGTTAAACTGATCCCAGATCAGAACTCAAGACTGTTTTGAATTGAAAGTTAGCAACGGTGCTGCTCTTGAAACATTCTCTCCAGCGGACGGCTCAACCGACGATGATAACGTTGCGAACAGTGATTGAAGGCCAACGTTAAACGTTTCTTCATTCTTTGCCACGTTAGCGTTGTTTCGTTGAACTGGTCCTTTTAACGTTAGCTTTAGCAGCCACTCTCTCACCATACGTTAGCATCACAGTATCACCTCAGACATCAAACGTTTCAGCCCAAGCAGTGCTTCTGGAGATTGATGGTATCTTCTCTTCAGAGGAAGGTTAGGAGACTTCGCATTCTGTCGCTTCATACTTATTTTCTTTGCTTTTTTTTATTTTTATATGCGGTTTCCATTTTGATACGGTTCATTTTGCTACATGGTTTGGTTGTATCAGATTTTGGCGGGTTAGCATGGTTAGGGGAAGAGGCGGGGTTTTGAGGTGAGTGGTGTAGAGCTGAATTAAAGAAGTTTGCCTTTCAGTCTCTCTCTAATGATGGACAGATGAAAACTGTTGAAAGGGCTGGTTCAACTAGACAGTGCTAATATGGTTAGCTATGCATGAAAGCTAACGTTGCTAGCTAGCACAATGTGTCGCTATCTAGCTGCAGTAGCTTTCATGCATAGCTAGATTTAATATTATATCTAGATATGCATGAAAATGACTGTAGCTAGACAGCAACCCATCATACTAGCTCGCAACGTTAGCTTTCATGCATTGCTAGCTAGTATGATGCTAGTATATCGCTGCTGTAATGTAAAGAGCAACAGGCGTTTTCAAATTATGCCAAAAACTGAAAAACGACAAAAATAGAGATGCAAGGTTTTGTTCCGACAGCAGCGATATGTGTCTTTAATGGATAGCTAGATTTATTTATTATATCTAGCTATGCATAAAATTACAATAGCTAGACAGCAACCCTTCATACTAGCTAGCAACATTAGCTTTCATGCATTGCTAGCTAGCTACAGTCGTTTTCTTGCTATAATAGTGGTATAGTAGTAAAGCTAACTGTGTGTGAAAGCTGGTGTTGGTGGTTATCATGATGTCTTCCTACCCACATTAGCTTTCATGCATAACTAACCTTATTAGCGCGCCTAGCTATGCATGAAAGCTAACTTTGGTAGTTAGCACAGCGTGATGCTGTCTAGCTACGATGGCTTTTATGCATGGCTAGCCTTATTAGCACATCTAAGCTAATGTTGCTACATAGCAACAAGTCTTAGCCGTCATTCTGTGATAACATTAGTTTTGTTGAACTAGCCCTTCGGTTGTAGTATGATTGACTGATGCTTAAATATTATTAATTATATCTCTCTTTATGCAAATGTTATGCTAATGAAACCGTGGTGTGGTTGATTGTGAAAGCTGCACTGAGGGCTGGACGATGATGGTTTTCTCTTTGGTTTTCATCTCCAAGCCCTTCAGACATGGATGAGCAGATCTATTACAGGGCGTTTTACTCTCGAGCGGTAACTCAGTGCCAAGTGTGGTAATTGCAGTTGGATTGCATTCTTTTTGTTTTTGTTTTCTGTATTTTTGTTTTTGTTTTGTTTGTTTGTAGCATACTGCCAACCAGCTGATTTAAATAAAGGACAATTGATTTATAATTATCTGATGGTCTTTTTTTCTTTTTGTGTTTAATACAGTGTCTCACCGAAACCAGTAATGTGAATGCGAATGTCTGGGTGTTTTCGTCTGCGTTTCTTTCATGTGTGGCGCGTAACCATGGCAGCGCGCTAAGAATGACCACCAGTCTTGGTTTCCATGGTAACGGCCTGTACACAGCCAAAGAGTAACTTCTTCGGCACATCTTGTATAGATGCAGTTTCTCTCTCTCTCCCTCTCTCCCTGTATGTCTCTCTCTCCCTCTCTCTCTCTCTCTCTGTCGCTCTTTCTTTCTATGTCTCTCTGAGTGCCATGTTCTCTCTCCCTCTCTCTCTCCCTCCCTCTCTCTCTCTCTGTGTATGTTTGTCTCCCTCTATGTGTCTCTCTCTTTCTATACGTCTCTGAATGTCTTGTTCTCTCTCTATGTGTGTCTCTATGTGTGTCTCTATGTGCGTCTCTCTCTCTCTCTCTCTCTCTCTCTCTCTGTCTGTCTGTCTGTCTGTCTGTCTGTCTCTCTTAGTGTGTCGTTTTCTCTCTCTCTCGCTCTCTCTCTTTGTATATGTGTCTCTGAGTGTCTCGTGTCTTCTGCCCCCCCATGTGTATATGAGTCTCTGTGTCTCTATATGTCTCTGAGTCTCTCTCTCTCTCTCTCTCTCTCTCTCTCTCTCTCTCTCTCTCTCTCTCTCTCTCTCTCTCTCTCTCTCTCTCTCTCTCTCTCTCTCTCTCCCCCTTTTGGAACTGTAAGAGTGTCTGATGTGGGAACACATTCACGTTCATTAGAACTGACATTAGAAAAAGATGCATAAATCTTTTTCTCTTTTCATTCTCCATCAGTCTTCCCCGCTTTCTTTTCTCCTCCTTGATGAGAAGGA